GCGAGGCCCCAAGCCGCACGCAGCTCCGGCGCGCACGCCGCAGCGTGGCCAGGAGCGTCGGCGAGGCGGGGATGAGGGCGCTTAGACATATTTTTATTGCTATTTGTATGTTAATTGTTAATATTAATATTCTTATTCTTAATATCAATATTAACATGAATGAATATTAGTATTAATATTGTCTATTCAGCTCAACCCAGTTCGCCTGGGCAGTCAAAGCTGCATGGTTTTTTGCCTTCTTTATCGGTCCACAGGGTTTATATGATTTTACTAGGGAGGAGCTTATGTAAATTTTAAGCAGGGAACCCCCCCCCCCCCCCCGGCCGAAATCCCCCCTCCAACCTTGGAAGGGACTATGGTCTCTATCCCCTTTAAGCCAAGAGGCCAGGGCTTAGATTTGTAAAATTTCAAGGGCCTGGCCTTTCACCCAAAAGGCCAGGGCATCGAAATCCAGAGCCCTGAGCCCGGGGCCAGGACATGAAAGCGGTTCCCCAAGCAGTGTCCATTATGTGGGACTAGCCTGGCTCCTGGACCACCACCCCCTTGGCCAGATTGATCGGGGCGATTTTTTCACATGCTTTTTTGGGTCATTTGGGATTCCGGGTGTTCGGCGTCTTGGAAAGGAGGCTTGCCTTCAAAATTTAAAGGCCCGGCCCTGTAAGCCAACGGGCCAGGGCATCGGCTCAAAGACAAAGCCTGAATCCTTGCAAACATGCCGGAGTTTGACAAAGACTTGACTTTAACCAGGAACCCTCAGACAGTCACAGGGTCCTGAACAGCCTGGCGAGTTTAAAAGCAATCCCAGCCCCTCCCCGAATGGAAAACAAGACTGCATCCTTCTACGCCTTATTTAGTTTCTCCCGAGCACACCTTAAAATTCACCCATGGGCCTTGAAAAGCTAACAGCAGCTGAACAAACCCTTAAACCCACAAATGCCAACCCTCAGGATAGAGCAGTTGAAAAAGCTCTCAAGCCCTAAACCCCCAAGACCTCAAACCTTACGATTCTGTAAACCCTGAACCCTGAACCCTCAACCCTACACCCTAAACCCTAAACCTTAAACCCGAAACCAATCAGGATGGCTGGAGAGCGGCCCAAGATGTTGCCGAGAAGACGCGGCATTCAGCGCTGGCAGAGGATGGGGGGGCGGGGGGTTTTCGGGGCCCGTACATCTTGGGGCCTTTCTTGTGGCCAAGGGTTTTCAGGCGCTTAGGGGCTTTGCTAAGGGCCATGGGCTTTAGGGGCCGTAGCCCTAAATCTCAGCCCTAAGAACCCCAATTTCCGCAGGCTTGCCCGAATTGGCCCGGCTTTGCTAATGTTAAGACATTGGATCATACAAGAGATCGAAGGGCGTTTTGAACGGTTTGCTTCGCGAAAAGGCCCAAGACGAGGAAGGTCGTTTTGAACGGTTTGCTTCGCGAAAAAGCTCCAAAATGCTCAATAGGGAACTTCGAAGAGGAAGTGCGTTTTGAACGGTCGCTTCGCGAAAAGGTCCCAAAATGCCCCAATAGGCAACTTCGAAGGGGAAGGGCGTTTTGAACGGTTTGCTTCGCGAAAAGGCCCCAAAATGCCCCAATAGGGAACTTGGAAGAAGAAGGGCGTTTTGAACGGTTTGCTTCGCGAGAAGGCCCAAATATGCCCCAATAGTGAACTTCGAAGAGGAAGGGCGTTTCGCTGTGCTCTGCGAAAAGGCACCGAAACGCCCCAATAGGGAACTTCGAAGAGGAAGGGCATTTTGAACGGTTTGCTCCGCGAAAAGGCCCCAAAATGCCCCAATAGGGAACTTCGAAGAGGAAGGGCGTTTTGAACGGCTTGCTTCGCGAAAAGGCCCCCAAAAGGCCCCAATAGAGAACTTCGAAGAGGAAGGGCGTTTTGAACGGTTTGTTTCGCGAAAAGGCTCCAAAATGCCCCAATAGGTAACTTCGAAGAGGAAGGGCGTTTTGAACGGTGTGCTTCGCGAAAAGGCCCCAAAATGCCCCAATAGGGAACTTCGAAGAGGAAGGGCATTTTGAACGGTTTGCTTCGCGAAAAGGCTCCAAAATGCCCCAATAGGGAACTTCGAAGAGGAAGGTCGTTTTGAACGGTTTGCTTCGCGAAAAGGCCCCCCAAGGCCCCGATAGGGAACTTCGAAGAAGAAGGGCGTTTTGAACGGTTTGCTTCGCGAAAAGGCTCCAAAATGCCCCAATAGGGAACTTCGAAGAGGAAAGGCGTTTTGAATGGCTTGCATTGCGAAAAGGCCCCAAAATGCCCCAATGGGGAACTTCGAAGAGGAAGGGCATTTTGAACGGTTTGCTTCGCGAAAAGGCTCCAAAATGCCCCAATAGGGAACTTCGAAGAGGAAGGTCGTTTTGAACGGTTTGCTTCGCGAAAAGGCCCCCCAAGGCCCCGATAGGGAACTTCGAAGAAGAAGGGCGTTTTGAACGGCTTCCTCCGCGAAAAGGCCCCAAAATGCCCCAATGGGGAACTTCGAAGAGGAAGGGCGTTTTGAATGGCTTGCATTGCGAAAAGGCCCCAAAATGCCCCAATAACTTCGAAGAAGAAGGGCGTTTTGAACGGTTTGTTTCGCGAAAAGGCCCCAAAATGCCCCAACAACTTCGAAGAGGAAGGGCCCCAAAAGGCCCCAATAGGGAACTTCGAAGACGAAGGGCGTTTTGAACGGTTTGCTTCGCGAAAAGGCCCCAATAGGGAGCTTCGAAGAGGAAGGGCGTTTTGAACGGTTTGCTTCGCGAAAAGGCCCCAAAATGCCCCAATAGGGAACTTCGAAGAAGAAGGGGGTTTTGAACGGTTTGCTTCGAGAAAAGACCCCAAAATGCCCTAATAGGGAACTTCGAAGAGGAAGGGCGTTTTGAACGGTTTGCTTCGCGAAAAGGCCCCAAAATGCCCCAATAGGGAACTTCGAAAAGAAGGGCGTTTTGAACGGTTTGCATCGCGAAAATGCCCCAAAATGCCCCTATAGGGAACTTTGAAGAGGAAGGGCGTTTTGAACGGCTTGCTTCGCGAAAAGGCTCCAAAAGGCCCCAATAGGGAACTTCGAAGAGGAAGGGCGTTTTGAACGGTCTGTTTCGCGAAAAGGCCCCAAAATGCCCCAATAGGGAACTTCGAAGAGGAAGGGCGTTTTGAACGGTTGTCTTCGCGAAAAGGCCCCAAAAGGCCCCAATAGGGAACTTCGAAGAGGAAGGGTGGTTTTGAACGGTTTCCTTCGCGAAAAGGCCCCAATAGGCCCCAATAGGGACTTCGAAGAGGAAGGACGTTTTGAACGGTTTGCTTCGCGAAAAGGCTCCAAAATGCTCAATAGGGAACTTCGAAGAGGAAGGGCGTTTTGCATGGCTTGCATCGCGAAAAGGCTCCAAAAGGCCCCAATAGGGAACTTCGAAGAGGAAGGGCGTTTGGAACGGTTTGCTTCGCGAAACGGCCCCAATGGGGAACTTCGAAGAGGAAGGGCGTTTTGAACGGTTTGCTTCGCGAAAATGCCCCTAAATGCCCCAATAGGGAACTTCGAAGAGGAAGGGCGTTTTGAACGGTTTGCTTCGCGAAAAGGCCCCAAAATGCCCCAGTAGGGAACTTCGACGAGGAAGGGCGTTTTGAACGGCTTGCTTCGTGAAAAGGCCCCAAAAGGCCCCAAAAGGCCCCAAAAGGGAACTTCGAAGAGGAAGGGCGTTTTGAACGGCTTGCTTCGCGAAAAGGCCCCAAAAGGCCCCAATGGGGAACTTCGAAGAGGAAGGGCGTTTTGCATGGTTTGCATCGCGAAAAGGCCCCAAAATGCCCCAATAGGGAACTTCGAAGAGGAAGGGCGTTTTGAACGGTTTGCTTCGCGAAAAGGCCCCAAAACACCCCAATAGGGAACTTCGAAGAGGAAGGGCGTTTTGAACGGTTTGCTTCGCGAAAGGCCCCAAAATGCCCCAATAGGGAACTTCGAAGAGGAAGGGTGGTTTTGAACGGTTTCCTTCGCGAAAAGGCCCCAATAGGCCCCAATAGGGACTTCGAAGAGGAAGGACGTTTTGAACGGTTTGCTTCGCGAAAAGGCAGCAAATTGCCTAATTTGGAACTTCGAAGAGGAAGGGCGTTTTGAACGGTTGGCTTTGTGAAAGAGACCCAAAATGCCCCAATAGGGAACTTCGAAGAGGAAAGGGCGTTTTGAACGGTTTGCTTCGCGAAAAGGCCCCAAAATGCCCCAATAGGGAACTTCGAAGAAGACGGGCGTTTTGAACGGTTTGCTTCGCGAAAAGGCCCCAATAGGGAAGTTCTAAGAGGAAGGGCGTTTTGAACGGTTTGCTTCGCGAAGAAGGCCCCAAAATGCCCCAATAGGGAACTTCGAAGAAGACGGACATTTTGAACGGTTTGCTTCGCGAAAAGGCAGCAAGTTGCCTAATTGGGAACTTTGAAGAGGACGGGCGTTTTGAACGGTTGGCTTCGTGAAAGAGACCCAAAATTCCCCAATAGGGAACTTCGAAGAGGAAGGGCATTTGAACGTTTTGCTTCGTGAAAAGGCCCCAAAAGGCCCCAGTAGGGAACTTCGACGAGGAAGGGCGTTTTGAACGGTTTGCTTCGCGAAAAGGCCCCGAAAGGCCCCAATAGGGAACTTCGAAGAGGAAGGGCGTTTTGAACGGCTTGCTTCGCGAAAAGGCCCCAAAATGCCCCAATAGGGAACTTCGAAGAGGAAGGGCGTTTTGAACGGTTTGCTTCGTGAAAAGGCTCCAAAAGGCCCCAATAGGGAACTTCAACGAAGAAGGGGGTTTTGAACGGTTTGCTTCGCGAAAAGGGCCCAAAATGCCCCAAGAGGGGAACTTCGAAGAGGAAGGGCGTTTTGAACGGTTTGCTCCGCGAAAAGGCCCCAAAATGCCGAATAGGGAACTTCGAAGAGGAAGGGCGTTTTGAACGGTTTGCTTCGCGAAAAGGCTCCCAAAGGCCCCAATAGAGAACTTCGAAGAGGAAGGGCGTTTTGAACGGTTTGCTTCACGAAATGGGCCCACCTTTAGGCGGTTTCGGGTTTTTAGGGGCTTAGGGTCTGATGGTTCAGGGGCTTTTGGGGCTGTGTGTTAGGGCTTCAGGGTGCGCCGGGCTCAACCGCAGTCCGTAGGCGTGTGGAGGCCTGCGCCCGGGGTTGGGTTGTGTGCTTCGGGGCCTCGGGGCTTAGTCTTCGCAAACGTTGAAGAAGGGTAGCTTTAGCCAAGGCAAAGTCACGGCCTCCAGGACTCAATAACCCAAATGCCGACGCCTTTCGTCCCAAGAACTGGCAGATGAGGCCCTGTACTTGACTTGAGGGCTCATGGGTTGTAGGTGGGGTGACAACTGCACCTGACCCCCGCCTTAGGTGGATAGAACCCTAAGTAGAACCACCCCTGAAACCCTAAACCTTAAACCCTTAAAAGAAGTTACTGGGGTTAATGGGTAGGAGATCGAGTCACTGGTGGTCTCCAAGTGGTTGGAAGGCGCGCCCGTCATGATCCCGATGTTGGGCTTCAAGGCTTGCCAACAACCTTCAAACCCCCCAATACCCTTGGTTTTTGGGGTTTAGGGTTTAGGGTTTAGGATTTAGGGTTCAGGGTTTAGGGACCTCAGGTGACAGACCCTCAAAAGCCCACGATGCAAAGCATGCTAGAGTTTCCGCTATCGAGCGACAGTGAGCGACAGTGTTGCGGTGGCAAGAAGCAGGGGCAACTGGCGCTTGAAGCTCGAGAGCATCGCAGGACGGAAGGTCAGTAGGGGTTCGGAGGAAGCACACCATTTCCTAGAATCAGGATTGCAGCATATGCGGCATCATAATGGGGGGGGGGTTAGTCCTATTTTGGGGAAATAAGCTTCGGTTCGAGGTGTAGGGCCGTTCCGCTTCAACACGTCAATTGAGGACTGCAGGGCTAAGGGAACCGAAACCCTAAGCATTTTCCGAACAGGGTTTGGTTAGGCTCCGTATTCTGTAGTATTATAAAAATGTAAACATTGTAGCATACCATTACAGGTTATACTACATGTTAACGTGTTGCGGAATATTGAAGCACATTATGGTCCGTTGTCGTGTTTTTTCAGTTTTAACTTTTAGTTGTATATAGTAGTATGTTAAAAAGCATGTGGCACGACATGATGAATCGCAGCTGGTCGTTAGCCACAGGCCATTGGACCTGCAATCCCGCGCGTTTGCATTCAGAGCGAAAAATTCGGGAATACAGGCAGCTCAGTACCTCTTAACTACAAGATGTGCCTTACTCTGTCTAGCAGCGCTTCTTGAGAATGAAAGCACATTGTTGGACGTCACAGGAAGTACACAAAGATGAAAGTGAGCAGTCCACATAACTGGCTGAGAAAAAAGAGTTGAATTTTGAATACGAATTGCACTGATGATGACGGCGATGGTCATAACAACAGTGATGACTATGATGATGATACGAACAAGAAGCGCAAAAGCCGAAACATTCATGGCAGTCGTAAGATCAAGGACAAAATGACAAGAGAGCAGGAACGAGAAAAGGGAAGAGCTCAGCCAGGCCAAGTCGCCGACCTCAGAGACTTCGAGGCCTTCTTCCGCGCCACCGAGGCGTCCGACGTGCCGGCCGGGCGCGGGGAGGCCGCAGAGGAGGCCGCAGAGGAGGCCGGGGCCTTTTTTGGGGGGGGAGAAAAGTGCATTTGGGGGTTTACGAAAATAGGGGTGCCCTTTTTGAGGGGGTTCCTAGAATAAGGATTATACTATTTGGGGGCACCTAATGGGTACCCCCTATTTGGTGAAACTCGGGGGTTTTAAGGGTGTATGCGAAGCAGCAGTATTTAGAAGAACTCCAAGGCTGAGAGCTTCGGACCGAAGGTTCTGTTGAGGACCTGGGGTTCGAGGGCTTTGGGCGTTTAGGGTTTGGGGCTTTTTGCATCTTGAGATTTTGGGGTTTGCAGTTCGGGGGTTTGTCCCCGCTTTGCGGTTTTGCGTTTTGCGTTTTGCGTTTTGGGGTTCGAGGGCTTCGAGGGGTTTCTGGATCTTGATGCACGAACTCTTTGAGGGGAGGTAGCGGAATAACACGGAAGGAGGAATCTAGAAAGGGAGATGCAATAAGACATCTAAGGACTTGAAATACCTTGAAATGCACTTGCCAGAAACAGATAAATATGTCCATATTAAATTCAAGTTCCTGAGGCAAGGGCCGGTCGTGGGAGGCAAAGCGCTGTTGCGTCAGTCGAGGAGGGGGGGGAAGGGGGTGGGGGCGGGGGGTGATATTGAAATGATGGAGACCTTGGTTTTTGAGGGGCCCCCAAATAAAGCTTCGAAGTGGCTTCTCCAGCGGGGTTCTTGGAAACCTATAAGGCAAACATTTGGCCGGAGCAGCAGCCCCCGAATCGTTCCCCACACACCCTGAAAGCCCCTGAAAGCCCTCAAAACAGCTTACCAGCTGGAATCTCCCAGATTCGTAGCTAATGAAGGGTTCATGCTCAACTATACTTTGGGTTGCCTTGGCCTTTGTTTACACCAATTTTGAATCCCCAAATGCCGACCGCCGCCAGACTTGGCTGAAGCCCCTCAGTGCGCCCCTCCCGCGCGGGCACGGGAGAGCTCTGCGTGCGCGAGCTGCGCAGGAGGTGGGGCAGGAAGAGCTGGATGTCCTTAGGAGCGGTACGGCCCTGTTTTCCGAAGCTCTCGGACCCTGAGCTACCCGGGCTACCCCCGCACATTGAGTGTTTAGGGGGGGGGGGGGGGGAGAAAGTTTGGGTTCAGGGGAAGTTCTCCTGACCTCCGGGGCCATTGTTGGCGCCACGATGACCGTTTAGCTACAAATGCCTCAACAAACATTATTAAGACGAGTAGGTGTTTCTTGGCATGCACCTCCAAGATGTTCGTACCAAGAAGGGAATCACATTTTTGGGGGGTCACAACGATGTATCTGCATCTTGCATCCTTCCTTAAACGCCCAGAACGCATTCGAGGTGCACCTTTTCTACACTCGAAGCCCATAGGCAGCAGAAACGACAGACTAAGTTCAAAAGCCTTTAAAGTTTAAAGTTCCGGCACAAGGAAGAGGAAGGAAGAGAGGACGAAAGGGCAGTGAGGGATCCGCTGGAGAGCCCACCCCTAACCCCGAACCCCTAACCCCGAACCCCCGAACCCCGATCCCCGAACCCCGAACCCCTAGCCCCGAACCCCGAACCCCGAACCCCGAACCCCTAACCCCGAACCCCTAACCCCTAACCCCTAACCCCTAACCCCTAACCCCTAGCCCCTAACCCCGAACCCCCCCCAGCCCCCCCCCCCCCCCCAGGGCATCCGAGTCTTTGACCTGGGCGAGGGCGATCACCCGTCCGAGGCGGGAGCCCTTGCCACCCTGAGCCCCCCCAAAGCCCTACACACCCGTTTAAAAAAAAAAAAAATATATATATATATATATATACATATATATATATATGTAAGAATGAATATAGAGTAGTACATAAGAATATATAATAAGATGTAATCATGTATCCTGGGCTTCATAGGTCGTTTTTTGAGTGTAGGAGGGACCTTCATATGAAGGTGTACCCGTGCTTCCGGCCCCAAAACGCCCAAATGTCACTCAAAAGAGGCAACGCGCCGCACGGAGGCTACTTGAAGGTACATGATCAGCTATAGCCGATGTTATCATCTTACTTAAAGGCCTGATCACCCGACATGCGTGTACGCAACCAAGACGACCCTGTAGACCCTAACCTTTTGTGCTTCGGGCATAGACCTTCACCGCGGAGTTTGTAATTGCCTTCAAACTACCTTATCCCAGTTGAAAAGCTGCTCCAAGCCCTGAAGTCCCCAAACCCCAAACCCTAAACCCCAAACCCCAACTCCCCTAAACCCCAACTCCCCCAAACCTTAAGGTTATGACCTTTATTGAGGGTACTTAAAGCCCATGAAGTACCCATGAACCTTCAAGTGATCCCGAAGCTGCGCGGCATCGAGGCTGCAGCATGGCTTGAGCGAGAGGCCGGACGACTTCTGGGCCCCGGAAACCCTGAAATCCTATACCAGGGGACGGTCAGAAGTAGGGTTGGGTTAGGGTTGTTTAGGGTTTTAAGGTCTAGGGGTTTAGGAGTTTAGGGTTTTAGGGTTTAGGGTTTAGGGTCGAGTTGAAGGTTCGTGGGGAGGTAGTCGGGTTGCCAGCACCCCACACAAGGCTTCCGCTTTACTGAAGCAGGGTTCTGCTTAGGGTAGCCCGACACATCTAAGCTAGCCTCTCAGTTGAAACTGTTATAAAGCTTGAGGTTAAAGGGGAAGATTTCCCCGAGACTTTCTCGGAGCCTGAACCATGAATAGTTTCAAAAAAACCCTCAACCGAAACCCCAAGCCGAAAAAAACAGGCACTTCGAAGCAATGGAAGACCTGAAAAAGCTGATTCTTTGTAGGCTTTTCGAGGCCTATAGGGCTTAGGGCCCCAGGCTTCGATGGTCATCACTCCGACTATGGACGGGACGGGCATTTAGGGTTTTTTAACGTTAAAAAGCCCTAAATTTAGGGTTCTTAAACGTTAAAAAACCCTAAATGAGTCCCAAAGAAGAGGCCGTAAACCCGGGGACGCTCCATCTTCAACAGCGCTTCAGGTTTTGGACTCTGGGTTTTTTGAAAGGAGGAGCCAAGAGTAGCGGCTGGAGGAACTCAGGCCATAGCCACAAAGCTCAAGCTCTCATAGCCAACCTTTGAACTCTCAGCTTGTTGGGTGTCCTTGTGTTGCGGTATAGGAATATTAGAAGCTCACTCGCTGGTTCCTGCGCACGCCTTTTTGCCGAGTAGCAAATCCGTCTAAGCCATGGCGGGGTCAGGATCAGGCTTGGCGTCTCGCAGAGATAAGTTGTTACTTACCTGCAAGCTTCCACTGCCTTCACAGTTGCGAGCTCGAGTTTGGACATTCCTATCCTCCTCGTCGTCCTGGTGGCCTACAATCGTCCTCCCGGATGACCTGGACACGGGTGTGACCGCAAAGGACGGAGACAGAGTGCTGATTTGTGGCCGCTGCGAGGTGGATACAGATCTTCTTCAGATAGGAGTTGTTTCGCGAGAGAGGCTCTCTCTTAGCCCGGAGATGGTTCTTGTTTGCCGGAAGCAGGTCATCCTGAGGGGTCAGACTCCAGCGAGTGAACTAGCATTTTCAACGCTTTTGCATGGCAGCAGCCAGTGCATCGTACTGGCAGGAAACGGAGGAAAGATTCAAAGTTTGAGGGTCACTGGCGTGCAGCGCTGCGCTCTTGAGATCTTTGCAGGCGAGTGGCACATCAGCGATTGTGTCGTTAGAGCTCCACCTAAAAAGACTTGGGATGCGTTCACTGCTTCCGGTGGCAGCACGACTTTCTGGAGATGCCGGCTTATCGGAAACCACGGCGTCGGGACTTTGTACCCAGTTGATGGGTCAGGATCTGACACTCAAGAATCTACACAAACGTGCGTCCGGTTGGAGCGGTGTGTCATCCAGGACGGGAAGTTCTGTGGCATCGCCGTCTTGCAAGACACCTCGCTTGATGCAGTAAACTGCGTTTTCTTGCGCAACGGATGTGGCGCCTCGCAGCGACACATCGAGCGTTTCGCCGTACTTGCTTGCCCAAAACTTTTGGCAAGCAACAAGCTCATGGTTGCGGACTTCCTAGCACCCGTGAATGCTGGCGAGTTCCACTCGCCAGCTTCGCAGGGTGTGGAAGAGGATTTGAACCTGGGCTGCGTGCTGCAACTTTTCCTTCGGTCGAGAATCAAGATCGTCAACTGTCAGTTCGGGGCCAACGGCATGTTGATTCACAATGAATGGCAGGGTGCATGGTACACGTGGCGTGCCGATGCCCCTTACATTGTTGCAGCGGGCAATGTCACCGCTGATGGCCAGCCCGTCGAGATTGCCAACGTGATGTACGAGAACTATCGCCGCAGACTGGACATGTGCGAGGCTCAGCGTGATGAACGGGAGGAAGGATTGGCAGCGTGGGGTGTTTCCAAAGAAGAACAAGAGCAGATTTTGCACAGAGAGCGTGGGCGCACCCAGCCACCATGGTTGCAGGCGTGAAAGGACACATGTGAACCACCGCGGCATGATTGTGGCAACTGCTTTCGTCTCTATAGAATCACATGTGCTGGCCTATGCTCTGGAGATTGGGTGATTGTTTTTGACACCCAGCCTTCCGATTCTCGCTCCCTATTCACAATCCAGCTGCGGCTCTCCTCATACTCAACAAACTATGATTTCCGGCTTTTTCGTCCGTAAAACTTGCACGGAAGCCATCATGACATGGCTGCTTGCAAAACTCCTGGCCCCTCCCCCACCTGACCAGCCACAGTGTGCCACAGGACAAGACCGAAGCTGAGGTTAAGCTGTACCCTCTAAACTCTAAACCGCTCCAACATAACAATCCAGGCATGAATCCTGAATTCTGCTGCTGAATTTCCTGATGCCATGATGTCTTCGGTTGTTAGATAGGTAATTAAACTTCAGAGGCTCGTGGCTAGGAAACCTCCGCCTCCAGGGCTTCGTCGTGCTCGCTGGCTGCCTTGCCGCGCCAAGCCTGCGGCGACTGCGCCACCTTTCCGCGGCCTGGATCCAGGTAATACCCCCTCCACTTCATACTCATCTGACAGGTGTGGCTGGTGCTGGGGCATTGGAGGGATGCGGGAGGAGGGAGTGGGCCGGCCGCAGATTTTTAAACCACTTCTACAGGTGGGTTGGGTTGCTTGAGCCTCTTTACTAGGGCTTGGTCCCAGCGGAAAGCCCTAAACCGCGAACCCCCAAACTGGCCTTCAACCCGCCAAAAACCGTTGACCCCTAGCCCGGAACCCTAAAAACTTCAAACCCCTAAACCGTGCCAGCCAACCACTCCCCTCGAAACCTCAGCGCCCAGGCAAAGCTCTTGCATCGGGCAGCTCGAGCGGAGCCGCGGGGCAACCGCCCTCCGGCCATTCCAAGAAGCACCACTTTACTGGGGGGTTTCCGTACCCTTTCTAGGGGTTCCCATAATAATTATTATAGTATTTCCGTACCCTTTCTAGGGGGGGGGGGGGGGGGGTTGCCATAATAAGGATGATAGTATTTTGGGGGTATATTAGGGAACCCCTAGATGGGGAAGCCATCAACTGGTACCCTCCGAGATGTAGCCGCCGTATGCTCCGATGTTGGGCCTGACAAATGCTAGGGTTTAGGGTTAGAACCCTGAAAGCCTTCGCAAGGACCTTCCGGTTGGCTCCTTCTTGTTGGTGGGTAACCATTTCACAACCCTGCAAACTCTAAACCCTAAGCTTGCTTAGTGGGGAAGGAATGGTTAGTCGCAACATGAATGTACCAACAGTAACTTTAACTTGGTTCGCTGCCAATCAACAGGAAGCAGCCGTAAAACCCTAAAAGACCTCAAGCGCCTAACGCCTGAACTCCTTAAACTCCTCCCGTAAAACCCTCTATGGAACCTTTGAGCTCCCTCAAGTCCCCCCCCTTCCTCAGGCCCGAAACCCTCCGAAAAATGCCCTCCGAGCCCTGAGGCGGGGAGAGGCGCTATAGCCTGGGCCGCACCACCATGGTGCCGGGCACGCTGGAGCTGTCGCAGAGCCCCGAGGTGTGGTCGGATTTGAAGATCCCAAGATTGGATCTACCACCTGCAATAATTTAAGTTTAAGTGCCGGCGGTTGTGGGGGGAGGGAGGGCGTTTCGGAGCTTTTCAGTGTTTAGGGTGTTACGGCTTGTGGCTGTAGGGTTGAGAGTTCCATCAGCCCTACGCCCTAAATCCCGCAGCACGCAGCTTCCTTTCTACCCACACTCGCGGGTTCTAGACATTGGGAGGGTTTAAGGACAGTGAGGTCTATGGGCCCTACATGAAAAGCGCCAATGGAATTCTAGTTATTTGTAGGGTCCCCAAATCCCAGCCCGGAACCGCCCGCGAGCCTTCAAGATGCAAGCCGTTCGACCCCGGGATCAGACCTAGCACTCTTACAGTTTCCCCTCCCCCAAACTAAATGTGCATGGGTCGTTGTGAGTGGGGCTTAGGGTTTTTAAGTTTCCTAAGAATGGTAGGTCCTGGTAGGTTCCCTTGTTAGTACGAAGTCATTTTTTCCAAGGATATGGAACCTACCTCACCTATATCCCCCGTCATACATGCGAGGTTTGCCGTGTTCTGGAGGCATTCTGGGGCGACTCGGCCGGCCTTTATAAAGGTTGCAGAAAAAGTTAGGTTTAGGGTTTAGGGTTTAGGGTTTAGGGTTTAATGTTGAGGGTTTAGGGTTCAGGGCTTGGGGCCGAGCCTTCAAGTGACCGCACGAAGCAGATGGGCTCCGAGCTCTGGTGTCAAGACCCTGAACCCTAAAGAGGCGGAAGCGAAGTGTTGGGGTGTTTTCAGCATCTTGGTCCCACTTGTGTCTTTCGGACAATCAGGGGTCTCCTCTTTGCGCTGGTCTTGCCAAGGGAGATTTCGATTGAAGGATGACCCTCACTCATTTTCGGAAATCGTGTAGGGTTCGTGGCTTGGATTGGGTGTTGGGGTGTGGGGCTTGGTCGTCTTCAGGGTCGCCCCTGGTCCTTTTGATTTTGGGGGTTACTTGCAAGCGCCGCACAACAAACACCATAACCTGCACCCATGTAATTCTTGGGTGCCCCGTAAAACCTGAACTCTACACCCTAAACCCTGTATGCTGCCAGGAGTCCCCTGTGTCCGAGGCGCGCAAAGTTCGGGTCCCTGGTGTTAGGGGGCCCAGTAAAAAAAAAAAAAAAAAAAAAGAGCTAGGCATAACGGGAGCTCAACGCCAAGAACCCGAACCGATAACGAGAGCTCAATACTAGAAACACGAAACCCGACACCCTGAACTCACCATTTCTTTGGATGTTCCCCCTTATACTAACAGTCCTTAATAGGTATTGTAAGAGGAGGTACTATATTCCCTATTAAGGAGCTGTTAGTACGCGGGGGAACCTGCTTCCTGAGGCAGCCCCGACTTCTTCGTGCAGTGCACTGGCGGCGACGCGTCTTTCCCGGGCGCGAAGCAGCAGGACCCCCCGGGGGCCCGCGGGCGTCCTACGGAAGGCCTTGAATTCGAGGATTGGGGTTTAGGGCTTAGGGCGCCCAAGCACTACAGAATTATGGAATGGATCCTCAAGTATATAGGGATCCGAACATGCAAGTCTGATAAGTCTAGCTTTTAGGGCCAGTGAGTCCTGATAAGTAAACCCTGAGCTCTTTTTAGAGAGCTGGTTTTGGGCAGGACCTCCACGCGGATGTTCCGGTGAAGGAAGTCGCCGATCAGTTGCTGGACCCAATTAAGGTTCAGGTTCCAAGGGGCTGAGGGTTGGTTCGGGTTTTGAGCTTAGGGTTCGAAGTGACAGGCAGAGAACACACTAGTCCGGTCAGCTTTACCTACCCCCAAACCCCGAAAATCATAAAGCCCGAGAGCCTAAATCCTGAGCCCCAATAGAACCTAAGGCCCTTTGCAGCAAGCCTTGCGGTCCACAAGTGGGGCCCAACACCCCAGTATACACTACCCATAAACCTTTTTCAGTAGGGGCAGGTTGAGGGGCCCCTCCTCTTCAAGGAGGGCCCCCCCCCCCCTAGTTATAAGTAGAGTTATAAGGACCCTAAGTTAGGTTATCAGGATCCTAAATTAGGTTAGAAGTCCCTTTACTATAGTTAGTATAGCAAGGGGGGCCCTCCTTGTTTCGGGCTGATGACCATGAGGTTCCCTGACCCCATTGACAAGTTGCGCCATCTCTGGCGGGTAGCTTCCCCCCCACATAACCCAGAGTTAGAACTACAAGTATAAGAATTGTATGTACATATATGTATATGGGCCATATATATGCACACATAAGCCTTGAATTCTTGCATGCCCCTCTCAACACTTATATATATATATATATATATATATATATATATGGATATGTATATATAACTATCCTTAAACCCCTGAACCTTAAACTTACCTGCCTTCTACCAGGTTGTACAACTACCTGGACCCTGCACATCCGGAGCCCGGCCCTGCATGGGATTGGGGCAAAGCCCCAGGCCCAGCGCTTCCGAGCCCGCTTGGTCGGCTCCTTCTCCCAGGAGAGGGACCGGGAGCCGCTCCCTTTCCAGGAGAGGGAGCAGACCAAGCGGGCTCGGAAGCGCTGAGGTCTGGATGTGTCTTGCTCACTATGATCTACATGCAGTTGTTTCGCTTATTGGTGCGTCGTCAAAACAGTTCTTCGCATGCCTGGTCCGAGGGTTTAGGGTTCAGGTTAAGGGTTCAGGTTATTTTTGTTTAGGCTTTGCGCAGTCAAGCCCCCAGCCCTATAGCGCTCGGGATTTGGGTTTTGGCGTGTATGTTTTGCGTAGAAGTGGCCGGCTTTTCATTATATGGCCGCATGAGTATTATTCTCTTCACGTCCTTTACAATACACTTCTTAAAAAATCACAAGCCAGCGCGGGAACCAAGCGAGCCAGGATGAACGACTCTTCCTAAGCCCGTTACCTGTGTCTCAAGGAACTAACTCGCTAGGTCTGGTCTGAATGAAAGCTGGATTGGGCGACACCGGTTAATAGGGCGTAGGGTTTAGGGTTCAGGGTTAGGGTTTAGGGTTTAGGGTTTAGGGTCTGGGGCTTCTCGCCGCGGCAGTAATTTTCGTTAGGGTTTAGGGTTTAGGGTTTAGTGGGATCTACAACCCAAGTTCAATTCGATCAACGCGCTTCCCAAGTTTTTTTTCGGACAAGAAAATGTTCGTGTTTGTTCTTTTATACCCTGAACGAAGGGTTGCAGCATTTTCAATGGTCAGTGTTTTTGATAAGCGGGACGACCTCGTGTTTCTTCTCTGTGTACGGCTCTGGCGCACTCAAGTTCGTCACTTTTTAGAAGGAAATGGAAACATTCCAACAACCAACACACATGACAAAAAGCAAAACGGGTAGAAGCCGCACTTCTCGAGCTTGTCGAGAGACAAGCTTTATGATGCAACGTAAGCCAATACATGCACCCACAACCTTAAACTTACCAAAATTCAAAATCCCTTATTGCCCCTGAAAATCTAAACTTTGAACAACTAAGCCGCAAAGGAGCGGAAGTTCATGGAGTTGCCGACGCCCGTCGTCAAAGTCTATTTCCCAGTGGTCGACCTTGATGATGAGGCGCCTTCGAGCCTGCAGTTACCCTAAACCCTAAACCCTAAACCCTAAACCCTAAACCCGGCTTTTCGAGTTTTCAGGGTTTAGGCTGCTAGGGCTGAGGGCTGTGGGGGCTTGAGGGCTTTAGGATTTTAAGGCTTTGGGTTTCCGCTCTCCACCGTCCACTTGTCTTCTATTCCAAGCCTTAGGGGTTTAGGGTTTGGGGTTTAGGGTTCAGGGTTTAGGGTTTAGGGTTTAGGGTTAGACCCCTGAGGCTTTTCATGGAGATAGGGCTCCCAGCAAACCTGGCCCTTCAAGGTCAAGTTCTTATATAAGCCCTGTTAGCACAAACGCATACCTATTTTGCCCAGGCTGTTGAGGAGAACATGCGCTTGCATGCTTAAGACCCACCAGCGGACCTGAGGGTTGTGGAAATGTTCTGATTTCAGATGTAGGGTTCCGGGTTTTGGGTTTCGGTTGCCTGTCTTGGGGTTTAAGACTTGGGCAGCTAAAGCTGGGTACAAAGTAGGGTAGCTGTAGCGTGCTGTAGTTACCGCGGGTTAACCTGGGACGCTTAAAGCACTGCTGCAGCAAACTACCTGTGAACCTTCAAGTAACCCCCTAAAGCCATGAAGCACACGGAAAAGTACCCATGAATCTTCACATAGCTCTTAGGAGCTATAAGGAGGTTGGATCTTGAGGCTTGAGGAGTGCGGTCTGCTGCTGGCTGCTGCAGGGGGATGCTTCACGGCCCCCATCTGCGCAGAATGCATTCTCGCAAGCTTTAAGTTAAGAAGACTTCGCAGTCAAGCTCGTAAACAACAACCCACGCTACTCTTGCGGGCTTCTCTGAGAGAGTGAGTACTCCAAGGATACTCGGCGGGTCTCTCTGCGGGGTCGGCACTCCAGGGATACGTGGCGGGATTCGGCACTCCGGGGACTCTGGGCTTGCACAGTTGCACTCCAAGGCATCCTCGGCGGGACCTTTGGGGGGTGGGCACTCAATGAGACCTGGCAGGGCGAAAAGACGAGGAGCATGGTTGACGAAGAATCTAACGGCCTAACACCGAGGGTGGGGAAGAAGAAGTCGTGCGACCTGCCCTTTTCAGCCCAGTTCGGACATCCTCCTGACCCGAAACCCTAAGCCCGGAACTGGTACGCTGCAGTACACTTTGGAACTCTGTAGCACACCTTAAATTTAGCGCACCCTATCCCGGAAGGCAGGGCCGCCGCGCTTCGCGAAGGGAACACACAAGCTGACGGCGCAGATGGACGTGCCACCACCGTCCCAGGACTGTGGGGGGCTTTGGAGTTTAGGGTTTCGGGCTTTGGGGTGTGGGCCCAAACGCTAAACCTCTAAAAGCCCACTGTGCCTTAACCCTTAGTCTACAGCTCGGGGCTTTAGGACGAGAGTTCCTATCTAAAGCCCCAGAACAACCTCCCTCCCCCTCCCCCCCCCCCCCACCCCACCTTGAACACAATCCTAAGCCCTCAATTTTGGCGTTCTGGGTCCCTTGGGGTACAGTACAGTACGCTTATCTGGGGTTGAATTAGAATAGCTCTTGAAGTTCATGTGGGCAAATCGGTGTTTTTGATTTTCGTAGGGCCCCAAAACCTACCCCAGGCATTTGACTTACTTGAAGGTTCATGGGCAGAATAAGGCAGGCTCTAAAAGCCCGAAATATGTGAGGCGATAGCCAGCTATATTTGTAGATACCCCGAACCCCGGCTAAACCTGTCCATCATGAACCTCCTAGTAGAACTCCACACTGCAAGAGCCCAAATAGTTCCAATGTTATCCCCTCGTAACCATGTTCTAACTGAACCCTAAACCTCCGAAACCCTAAACGCCCAAGCGATGAGGAGCCGCCGACCTCGCGTGCTTTTTGTCCGGCCGGGTCAGCGATCATCATGGACATGCGGGCGCCTTGGCCCAGCTTCCGGGTTTAGGGTTTCAGGGTTTAGGTTTTACAGGGTGTAGGGTTCAGGGATTATTTAGGGTGGCGCCCAGGAGAGAACGAAATCTGGCTGAAGATTCTTGTTGATTCTCGGGCTTTCCCTTCACGGAGTTGGATCCACTTCTCAATTTTGCGCTTACTTTCGCCAAAAGTTGAACTGTAGATTTTGGGTTTCCTTCTTTAGTAAGAATCCAGTGAAAGTTTTTTGAAATAGTTTAAGGTGGCTTGATCCGGCAAACCCAAAGCCCAAGCTGAAGCGGCAAGCCGCTGGACCCCAAAGCAGGGCAGGATCTCGGGTTTGGAACTTCGGGTTGGGGTTTGTTGGGGATCCCAAGGCTACTGCGAAACATGGGGAGCTTGCACGTTGCACAAAGCAGTTTTCGTAGTCTGAAGAACCGTGTGGTGAGAAACACCCAGCGGACTAGAGCAAAAGCAGCTGCGGCTTCGGAACTTGAACCTCAGTTGCCAGAACAAGGGAACATACGGTGTTATGGTACGTTAGGAAACTGCACCCAGAAGCCAGGTGTGGCACGGAGGCACAGCGAACACATCGGCTGCTGCCCGCCCCATGCTTTCTGTTCTTTGGCGAATTACTATAGGGCCCTTATTCCCGGGTGTAGGTTCCCTGAAAAGCCACCCTAAACCAAAATGGGCACCATTCCTAGGTTACTCATTGGTCTAGATTGCAAGATGATGGGATCCTAGTTTCGGGTTTGGCACTTTGCGGCTATAGCATTCAGAGTTTAGGACTTTCCTGCCCTCCCCAAACTACAGCCCAAATAAGGTTCTTTGGACCTTCTGTTGGGCAAGGGGTACACCTTTCCGGTCCTTTTTCTTGGAGCATGTCATCTCGAAGGGATTCGGTGCTCAGGGGGTCGCAGCTAGAACAGCTACTTCTCAAACTCCGGTGGAGAGAGTTGCCGAACAGCCTTGAGAGTTTTGGAGCTTCAGCGCTCTAACGTCCACCCTTGACCTGCAAAGCACGTGAGTGTGCGAAGCTGAATGCAGCTTTCATGATCCTCCTTCAAGTGCACGTGCTTCGGGTTTAGGTTTTGGGGTTTGTGTTTTTGAGAGTTCTGTGGTTAGAGCGATGCCGAAGTGAGCTCAAGGGAGGTTCCAAAAGAACGGGAGACAAATCTCGTCCACGCCGACCCGGCTCTGGCACCAGAAGGGAGACAAAGCCGCGATACAAAACGGGAGACAAGGGGGAGGCAGGGGCACGCCCACGGATCTGGCTCCAAAAGCTTAGTGACAGGAAGGGAGACAAGATGGAATCTGGAGACACCGAGGCAACAGGGAAGACAGGAGGCTTGCGGACCACCGATCCATCACTGGAGAGACAAGAGGAGGGTGACAGGAAAGGAGCGTGGGCCACCGATCCGGCTCTGGTTCCATCAGGAGACAGGAAGGGGGAAGAAGGGGACAAGGAAAGAGACAAAGGGAGCAGGAAGAGAGACTACCTGCGCCATTCTCAGTCCACAGACGTCTTTCTTGCTTGAGTCGATTGTTTTCGAACCCCCTCTACAGTAAACTGGAAAACACGGGCGTCTAACCCAGAACCATCGTCTTCTGGCGTTTCCGGGCCCTAGGGCAGCGCGTGAATTTTCAAGCTTCGTTGTGGGTGACTTGGGAAACTCTGAGGTAGAAGACTCCTTGCCAACTGAAAACTTCAGGTCCACTATGCTGGGCCGTCCTATAGCGAGGACGTGCTGAAGGAGTGGGCCTTTGCCGCGGTTTCTTGCACAGGTCTAGAGCGCCTTAGCGTACGTCCAAATGTTGTTGTGTACTTGCGCCTGCGGTTCCTAGCTGGAATGGTTCAGGCGACTCAGTTCACGGTTCGCGCGGTTCCTGACGCTCAGAACCGGAGCGATCCTCCAAGAAACCAAAACAAAGGCCCAGAAGCCTTGAAAATCAGGCCTCCAAACCCAGCTCCGACCTGCAGGTTCACGGTGAAGCGCAGGGGTTCTTGGGCTCATAACACTCCCACCATTGAGGCTCTACAAGCCATGAACCCTGCTTGTACATGAACTGCGTGAGGCCTTACAACCCCACACACACACACACACCCACCCTACCAAAGAGGATGGTGGAAGCATCCCGCCTTCTGTCCGCAAGACTCCTGAAGGACTTGGGTGCTTTTGAGATTTGCAGGGGGGGGGTGTGTCAGGAAAAAGGGCCCTAAAAGGAGGGTTTTGGGCGATTTGTGGCGCGTTTGGAGGCATCCCAGGACTGGAGAAGAAGATGTTTTATACACGACGGATCACGACGGCTTGACGGGATTATCAGAGTTGTTAATACAATTACTCTTAGCTATAGTACTTAGACATACCCAGCATGAAGCAGCAACAAGGCAACCAAAACCCGCAGCCCTAAGCTTCTTGCGAGCTCACACAGGGCGAGCACGGCTTCGAAACACGCAATCGTGAAGACTTGCTTGAAGTTGTGGGTAGTTGCAAATGGAGGGTATAAAGAAGGTGACTATCGCCATATGCCGCTATAGCTGGTTTACAACCATGTCGGGATGCTGAAAATGAGCCCCATATACTTATCACTTCCAAAGTCACCGGCTGAATCCCCTCGAGGGCAGATTCGAGCCTGCACTCCCCTGCTCTGGGGCGCTTGAGTAGCACCTGTAGTAGCGCTTGTAGCAGACGCTAAAGTTTTTTACAGCTTGCTTCCGTAGGGTGAGCACAAAGACGTGGCACCGTTCCCCAAAATTGGGACTCTGAGCTTGCAAGGGCGAAGAATGGCTCCTTCACTTGGGGCGTCAAGGAAGTTCTTTATGGATTCTTGCTTGAGGCAGGGTCTTTTGACGTTTGTTGAGGCTAAGTTTGTTTCAGACGCGTCAGGATCTAGTTTTTCAGGGGTTCACGATCTACTTGGTTCATCAGGTTATTTAAGCACGCCATTGCCCCCTTGCAGCCACTCGACCGTGACCCCAAAACTCGAACACTGTTTTCAAAAAATTATAAGCTACAGAACCGCACAATTCCCCAAATCCTGAAACCCAAGGTTCTTCGGAACTTGCTACTGGTGCTACCACCAGGGTGCCGCCTCTCTGGATCAGATTCAGCGCTTGTCTCCCCGGGGCGCCTTGGATGGCAGAACCCCTTAATAGGGTTAGAATTGGGGGTACTAGAATCCCTTCGAAAGACTGTTAGTATAAGGTGAACATCCCAATCTGAATCTCAAAATACTGATGGATTCGTGGTTTAGGGCTTTTAGGAGTCATCCTATCAGAACTCCAAAGCCCTAATCCCCGAAGCCCCCAGCACCCTTAACCCCAAACCCCATCCCCCCACTCTGCCAAGCCCTTTGAAGGGTGCTCTGAAGAGAAGGCGCCGCATCATATTGGAATTCCGAAATGGCCGGATCATAATTTGGAGAATTGAGCACATGCCTTCACTGGTCAGTTTGACGGGCCCCTTATATTAAGGGTGATCTTATTCTTAGGATCAGGGGCTTGGCCACATGAAACTTCTCATGACAAGCACTAAGTGTTTTGACCCGATGCCCAAGCGACCCAATCATGCATCAGTCTGTACCGGCACCAGAACCAATGTGGAGGGCAACCCCATGAGCCGCATGCGTCTAACCTGGAACCCTAAAGCCCAATAACTGCATTGAAATTTCAAAAAAAAAAACGCCGGCAGCTCACATATCCTTCCTATTGCGACTCTCCTATTCACCAAGAATGCCTTCCAAGTATGCCAAGGCCAAGAGCTGTGCCGACACCTAGCCGCCCCAGAGGGCCGCATCTGCTGCGCGCACCGCGGCGGAGAGGGTGTCGAGAAGATATTGTCAGGGTTTCGGGCAGTTGGTGCTCCATTCACATGGCCATTTCTCTAAATGAGTAGTTCTCTGAATTACCCCGCCTAAATTCGGGCTGGGTCTTTTAGGGGTCCTTTTAGAAGGTGCCATTTTTTATAGGGGGTCAATGCAACAAAGGGACCTAAACCCAAAATGTCGATCCCCTCCTTGTCCGGGAGCGCTCTCGGAATGGATTTATCAATTTGGCTTACAAGCCTCCGTGCAGCTATAGAGTTTAGGGTTGCTTTGGGGGTTTCCATGAGCTCCCCCCCCCTGCACCCCAGACTGGGGTCGAATGGGTTGGAAGAACCCCGAAGCTCCGGAACCCTCAGCGCAGAGACCCACTCACAAAACACCCAACCCTAAGGCCCTACAACCCGGTTTAGGGTTTAGGGTTTAGGGTTTAGGGTTTAGGGTTTAGGGTTTATCCTCAAACCCGACTGAAACGGCTACCCGCCCTCAACCCTGCAGCGCAGAAAAGGCAGTGCTCTGCGCCCGTGCACCCGGGGCGCTCGGCGCTGCGCAGCATCGGCGCGCCGGGCGGGCCCTGGCTCCTTGCGAAGCAGAAAAACTGCAAGGGCGGGGGGGGGGGGGGGGGGCCGGGGCGGCTTTAGGGTTTCGGGTTTAAGGAAGAATGTCTTGGTTTTGGGCCTGGGGTTGATATTTTAGACAGTTTTGGGTTTGCGGCGCTGCTCCTGGGATAGAACTGGTAGCCTGAGCCTGCTGGCAATTACTCGTAGCCAAGCGTTCTTCAAGCCGCAGCCTGAACACTTAATCCTACATTTTTCGACACTGTAGGTGCTGAAGGGGAGGTTAATTTGGGCCTAAATTGGGGTTTATGGACTTATGGCTTAGAGTGCTTTGGGTTGTTGTGAGATCCGTTCCGAGGCTGTGCCTCAGCTGCTGGGCAGCGCAGAAGCGAAGCCTTCTCCCCACCTGACCAAAAGGATCCCAACAGGATCCCAATGTCTAGGGGGGCTGGGGCCCGAGATTCTCCAGAGACACCCTCCACTCTATGCAGAATCCCCCCCCCACTGGGACTATAAGTCGGGAACCGTGGCTCTGTCGGCTCTATCTTCTTTTATCCTTGTTTGGGGGACTTGAGAGGAAACCCTACTGAGAAGTACCCATCAAGTGCTCTCTGAACTCTAGTGAAACACCCTGGAGTTCCAGCTACCCCGGCATGGTTTCAGGGCTTCTGAGGGAGGATGGCACCTTACGGCTTTTGCAGGGAGAGTCATCGGCTTCCTCGGCATCAGTAGACTTAGATGGCAGCCGCAGGATCGCTGCACAGACAAGCGGCAGGAGGCAGGGATCAGGGCAAACTCTGCAGCCTAAACCAAACTTTCCCCTAAACCGCACCCAGGCAGTTCATTAAGTCGCTCTGCTAAGCCGTAGAGGTAGAGGTCATCAGCCCAGGGCCTGCAACGTGCTCATATGTGGGCCCTCTTTCGGGCAGCGAAGTGTCACATCTTCGCAAACTGAGAAGCGTGCCTGCTTTCGAGACTCAACAATCGGAATTCGACATCACGCTTAAGAAGGAAGCCTAGAGCACGTCTGCGTCCCCTGAGTGTTGAATCAGGTTTTGAGTGTTGCGGAAACTCAAACTTGTCATGCAGCGGCACTGCTGCCATTCGTGATGCATGCCCATACACGAATATGTCAAAGGAGTGGTCCTGTCCTCGGTGCTTCCTTTCCTCCCTCACCATCGGTCTCTCTGTCTCATCTCTCTCTCTCTCTCTCTCTCTCTTTCTCGCTTTTCCTGTTTTGTTCCTTCGCAGATTTTCTCAGTAGTCGGCAGGAAACTTGAAATTTGGCAGTCGAAGTTGTGGTTCTCCTCCATGCCGCTGCTGTTCGTCGGACTTGTGTGTGTGTGTGTGTGCGTCTGACTGATACCTGTTGTCCATACGCGCCATGCCAATAGGAATACTTTGATTTTGTGTTCAATCCCGCCGCTGCCCCATCGACTCTGGCCCCTGTGTCGAACCGAGGATATTTGCACAACAGCTTGCATACACTGGTCTGGGTCGCTTTGTTACTTAGCTGGCATGTATTTTTCCGAAACAGTCAAGACTAAGGCTCACTAAGCGTTCCAGCGTTCAGGGGCAAGAGGGGGTGAGTCGCGGGGGCCGCGGGGGCCGCGCGGCCTGCGGCCGGCGCACGGACCTTGAGGCTTGCTCGCATTTTGGACGACACTCGTGCCGCTTTTCTGTGTCTGGGCTCGCGAAATGCGAATCTTTCGTGTCCCCATGGTCTCTCACTTTTTGGGGTCTACACTGGCATATTGGCGCTGAAAAAGAAAGCTTAACATGTTTAATGCTTGGCTATGTTTTGGCGTCTGCTAGAAGCAAATCTCTTTTGGCTCGGTGTGTAGCTTCGCAAGGACACCACGCCTCCAACATTGAGGCATCGGCACGGCTTGAGCAGGTAGCCCTTTTTAGGGTTTAGGGTTTAGGGTTTAGGGACCTTTTTAGCCTCTTGCGTATGAGGATCCCCCGTCAACACCCACAGGTTACCCTTCTTCCCGCAGACAACTCCGCCGGCAAGAGTCCAGCAAAGCCAGTTCTGGAGAATCTTTGGGATAAGCCAGACCTTGGAACTTGCATATGAACAGTAAAAGAGTGAGCCCTGCACAGCTCATCATACCTCCCTTTTTGTCAGGGGAAGCTGCCGCCGAATCGAATCCTTAAAGCCCGAAACCCTTAGACCCAAAAAACCCCTAAACACACCCCCAAAACACCCAAGAACCCTCAAACCATTCTGGGCTCAGGTGGGCATGTGGCAGCTCTTTCCACCCGTGCGCTCTCCTCTTTGCGCGGCGCCGTTTCGATCACTGGTGTGGGAGCCCAGCTGTCCGCAGGAGGGTTGGGACTCAGGGTCTGAAAGGAGGCCTACCGTAGGGGCTTGAGGGTTGAGGGTTGAGGGTTTAGGAAATAGGGGGCATCGAACATCCTAAATCCTAAGGCCAGCCCGCGAGGGGTTTGAGTTCCATCAAACTAAACCCTAGACCCGGAGCCCTGTGAGTTTAGGGTTGAGGACGTTTAGGTTTTAGGGTATCGAGGGTCTAATGGAAAAGGCTTCTGCAGAGCTCCCAGAAGGGCTGAGAGGTTCAGCCCTTCAACCCGAAGTATCAAACTCTAAGCTCTCCACCCCTCGGCTGCAAACAAAAAGGACGCGCCTCGATCCTTTCCATCAAGCTCCCTCAGCCCTACCCTAAACTCCCAAAATACCCGAAAACACCCTCAAGCCCTGAAAAGGGTTTCGGGCCTAGGCAAGAGAATCCCGAAACCAGCCCCGAAACCCTGGAAGTCTTGGGGCTCGCGCGAGTGAGGGTTTAGTCTGGTGTAGGGGGTTTGGGGTTTAAGCTTTAGGGTTTAGGGTTTTAGGTTCAGGTTTTGGGGTAATTACTTAGGGGCTTACAGAGTTGGGTAAGGGCTTTTCAGGGTTTGCAGGGTTCAGGTTTTGGGAGTTTGCAGTAGGAGAAATCGCTGCGCTTGGGCTGTGCAAGACCGCTCTTGAAGGCTTTGTAGCATTAAACCCTAAACCCTAAACCCTGAAGTATTGCGAAGCCAAGGCTTGGCCGAAACGTCCAAGGTGGAGTTGGGCAGGAGACCTTCGCATTCCATGCAGGCTCGAAGTTTGGAAGTGAGACTCACAAAGTCCTCACTCTCGTCGGCACTGGCGAGACTTCCTGCAAAAAATATGCCAGCCGATGCATTTCCCGGGAATCACGCTTCACCAAATTCATCTTGCGTGGGTATCCCGTCGCCTGCAACTACTTTTAAGCGATGGCACATGCAGGCATGATGACTGCATGGTGCGATGGGATGTTGAGAGTGCGACAATCACATGAAGAAGTGCTGCACGGCGGCCATACAAATCGAGTAGCTGCTGCACGCTGCCTACGACGACAAGTTCCAGTACAAGCTCAAGTAGCTTGTTGCAGAGAAAAGGCGCGAAGCTGCCTCAACATGAACATGATGTGTTCGATGCGATTCTGAATGGAGAGCTGAAGCAACCGGAAGCTTTGTGTTTCGAGGGCTGTTTGCATCTTCGGTATCTCGGCTCCAAGAGTTCACAAAACAGCTGTAGTTCACAGCTAGTTGACTGTTATCTCCAGACCGGCTGCGATGATGCGGCCTTCCACACGACAGAACCTCGCGTTGGCCTTCATCTTCATGCTGGCTGTTCACGATGTCTCTGCAGCCAGACATGGGTACAACACCGCACAGATGGTGTCTGTGGCCGCCAACCGTATGGAGCAGAGCACCAAGTTTCATGAGTATGTGGCTGGCGTGGAAGAGAGCGGTTCGTTCTCCCTGCAGACGATGTGGGCGAGAGGAAAAGAAGATCCGTTTCTGCGAAGCCTAACATGGACAAATGCCACAATCACCTTTAGTTATGCAGATGCTGACGACGGTATTGATTCGGCAGGGGAGAGCAGGGGAGGGAAGGGGAGGGCGGGGAAGGGTGGCCGGGGCATGGCCGGGAATCGGCACAGTCGGCACACGGCCAAGTATGTGGAGGTCACCGGGATGGACAAGAAGTATCGCATCATGCCGGATGCCGTCGTCATGACCAAGGAAATGAAGAGCATGGCCGTTGTCGGCATCTCGGGGTGGCAAGCCTTAGAGGGCGGTTTTTGGGGCCCGAGCAAGTATGACAGGGACGAGATCCTCTGGATCCGCACAGAGATGAACCCCATCATCGGCGTCACTACCGGCAGCACCATGTCTTGGCGCTATGCCGGTTACCCTGTCTATCAAAAGGGCTTCGAGAAGCCTTACTACTTCTACAAGGGAGTTCAGACCAGCATCGATATCGAAGAGGTAAGCCTGGCATCGGAAGAAACGCCTTCCGACTTCCATGCAGAAGTCGCAGGGCATAGGACCCCGCCCTCGGAAGCTCCCGGTCGTGATCTCATGCTCTTGTTGGACGCCATGCTGGGCCAGAGCTCCTGCCTGAGCAGTGAAAGCCTTTGCCTTCACCGTTGCGTCTACAACTCCGACGACGACAAATGTGGGCCAGCCGCATTTTGCACAGACGTTGCCGAAGGTGAGATGCCCAGTCCGCTGGCCCCCTTCGGTGACCAGCAGAAATGCAAAGCAGTTGGTGGCAGCAGCCACGAGGCAGCCGATCAAGCAATCACACATGAAGGCATCCCTTCACTGAAGGCCAAGGCGCTGGATGTGCCCTTACTGCAGATATTTCTTACTCCGCAAAATGCATGTGATCTAGGTGTCCCGCATGTGTGATGTCTGGTTTGGTTACATGGTTTGGTTGCATGAGGTTGTCCAGAAGCTGGAAGACATGGAGGCAGTGTCGACTTCAATCGCCAGCCCGTCGACCATGATGAAGACTGCCGAGCTCTGGGCAGAAGCCACAGAAGTGCTCCAAGTCTTGGAGACGCTTCCTGCAAGGCTGGCCAACTCCACCCTCCAAGGCACCCTCAAATGCTGAAAGCATGCTGAAAGCTGGCCCGTCAGGACAGATGCCGGGAAGTTCACGGCAGCACAACACCGAGCAAGCCGAACGGACATGAAGCATTGGCGCGGTCGCAAGGACAGGGAGGGTTTGGGCGGGGTCCATGAACAGGTGGTTCAGAATGTTACCAGAAGAGCTCCGTGAGTGCCTGTGAGTATCGCTACAGGCCTTGGGGCTTGCCTGTAGGGGATTTTCAGACAAGCGCAGGATCGCTTGACGACTGCGGAATACAACGCCGCAAAAGAGAAGTCCGTCGCAGATGTCCATGATTCCACGTCTTTCTCCGTGGCTGCAAAGCTGAAGCTCAGCTGCACAAGGCAGCATAGCCATACCAGCAGTCAGGACAACGAGACATCGGAGCTCTGAGGCACTCTGAGCTCGTGAACTTCGTGCTGAAGCGCCCCAAAATAATGATCGAGACGGCCGCTGGGCCGCCAGAACAGACATTGTCAGACTTTTTTGCAAGCTCGTTGCCTAGCAGCCCTTCAACCCTGCCCGAATCGCTCGAACCCCATATCCCCATGCCCAATCAGCTTGAGCGCAACAGATCACGAGGACGAAGCATGAGCTTTAGTAACTGGAGCAACCTTTTGTTCCATGAGATGCGTTTTAGTTCAGAAGCCTCGAGCTTCCAGGCCAAAATGCAGTCCAAAGAGCAGTGTTTGCTCAAAGATGGGACAGAGGATGAGAAGGACCAGCTGGAAGAATTCGTGAAGTATTTCTTGAGAGTGCCTGGTTACAACCGCGGGGATCTCGACGGCCAAACGCTGAGCTTGCCAGACCACTGCCAAGAGTATCTCAAGACCCTCGGTGGTGTCTCAATGTCAGAAGTGCTGAGCTCCTCTGCGAGGTTCCAGCAGCTAATGTTGTCAAACAGGGTTTGGGGGGCTTAGGGCGTTTCGGGAAGCTCACGAGAGAGTGATACCCAGACCCTCCAAACCCGTCTATTACATCTGAAAGGCTCACTTACATGATTAGGGGGTCTGCTCTTTAAAGGTCTTTGGATTCTCTTTGGCTTATCTGGATACTCCGTCGGCTTGCTGGCAGAGGGGGGTGACCAAGGCAGTGCAGACGAGGCAAAGAAGTATTTGAAGGAGACCGCGAACTCGCCGGGCTCAGACTCAACTCTGGAGCTGAACCTCGAAAGAAGCTCGACGAAACATTGGGACTCTCCCGCTACTGTAGCGTGCACCTCTTCGCAACCCGAAGCCGTCGAAAGCCCTAAATGGCCCTGAGCCCAAAACCCATAAATAAATAAATTGCACACATGCTATAGTATATACCGCTGTACTATAACATCGACTCGTAATTTACTAGGCTGTACTCAATCCCTGGGTCGCATCAAGCTGATGAGGATTGCCCAGGGCGGTGGGCGAGGAAGCCCAGAGTTTGCTGGAAAGCGATTCCTGGAAGGATGAGTCAGAGTCGGCAAGAACAGCGATCCTCTTCCACGCCTTCTGCCTGCTATTTGTTTGCTTGGTGATATTAGAGACACCAACCGACTCCACGGACCTCAAGCCGGGTGGTGAGCAGAAAGGCGACCCCCGCACGGCCTTTGGGACTCTTATGAGGTTTGGCTTGAGTGACTTGCGGGAGGTGTGCTTGCAAGGATCCAGTTTCAGTTTTTGTTTTCAGGTCTTGGCGGAATCACGCGGTGCGCCTGTTTGAGTGTCTTGATCCGAGGGCATACTATGCCAGCAACTTGGTGGGGCCTTGGTCCTGAGTAGCAGCTTGGCCATGAATGAAGACCCATCGAAACCACCTCAACCCTAAACCTTAATTGAGCCCTAAAGACCCCTGAACACTTGCTAGCTCAAGCTCTGACGTCACATCGGCAGCCCAGAACTCGAAAACACGCAGGTTCAGTGTAAAGGGCATTAGAATCTGGTGAGTTGACGCTGACGTTAGTTGAAGAAGGACACGACCATTCAGAACCCAAACTTGCCCACCACTATGCGCCAGCTTTGCCTGACCCGCTGCGAGTTTCTCTGAGGTGTGATAGCGATGAGTCCTCCTTGGGTTGACGCGTGGGCGGACAAGGGTATGTTGGTCTTGCTGGCTTGGGATTTCGGGGTTTTGTTAGTGACCGGCAAGCTCCGAGAAGGGCCGCTTACAAAAGCGCCGAAGTGACGGACCCGTTCGAAACAAATACCCGCGACTGCTAAGAAAAGTCCACCCTGGTGTTGCACTCCTTAGCCAGGGTCTGACTCTGAGGATGTTGGTGATGGGGTCGGGGGTCGATAAGACATGCTGCATGAAGCCAAGGCCCAGGAATCAGGGGTTTATTGTATAGGGTTTGGGAATTGCTGAAGGCTTGCCAGGACAACTCGTGTATGGAAGGCTACGGCTTGGACCCCGATGGTACCCTTTCGGGCTCCCTTATAAACCCCATTGGCAGAGGCATCTGCATGCGGGGCATGAAAAGCGAGACCGGTGACGCAGCTTTCAAGCCTCACACCACCGTGACGACAGTGATTACCAAGTTTATTGTCGCAGGGTCGCATGCGCATGCGCGAGCTTCAAGCTACGACGACGGCTGGGTAGAAGTTACTCGAAAGCCCCGAACCCGACTCCGAATAACCCGCAATTTCCTGACCGAATACCTTGGCCCAAACAAGGCAAAAGGGCGTCTGCTGTATAAAGTGTTCGTTCACATAATATAGAGTCATGGCAATGTTGGCACCGCCACCTGCACGGGCGCCGGCACCACCGACAGAGCTGCCCGGCTTAGGGATAGGGCGTTGTAGGGTGGAAGGGATGTGGATAGTTTGCCCTTCTTGACAAGCACCTTCAGGCATCTTCACCCAGACAGGCAGCATAACCTCTTTGGCCTTATGACAGAACCGAGTACCCCCTCAAAGCCTCCAACCCGAACAGCCCCAACGACCCTAACACCGAACTAGCACCCCATCCGACCCTCTCCCTCTCCTCAGCCCGGCAAAGCTCCCTAGAAGCCCTAGAGGAACTATAAACCCTTCTAGGAACCATACACAAAACCCTTCTAGAAACTATACACACAACCCTTCACAGAAGCCATGTAGAAACTCCTGGGAGACCAGGTCTTTGGCCTCCCATGGCCCAGCCCATGGCGCCCGTGTGGCGGGCGCCCTCACGGCAGCAGCCGCGGCCGTCGCCGCCCGGCGCCCGGAGCTGGCTCGGAGCAAGGCGCCCCGACTTGCTCTCTAAGGGGCGCCTAATGGGCTGGGGTTTAAAGGGTTGTAGGGTTAAAGGGCTTCAGGGGGATTATTTACAGGGCCTTCTTTGCCGAGTTTACGGGCTTACCGAAGGTTCCAGGGCGGGCATCCTTGTCTGTTTGCCTCAAGAGGCCGGTGCTTGACTCACATCTCCAAGGGTCGAAGCGTGCATCCTCAGGCTGCCGTACTTTGCCCTTCATATACTGATAGGGGGGGGGGGGGGGGGGGGGGGGAAGAGTTCAGCAAGCCGTAGGAGGCAGGAGCCTTCGAGCAGGTGACTTTGGGCTGCAGTCTCCCTCTTGGCGTAGGGGGGGGTTTGCGCTTGGAGGTTCGAGTCGTTCAGTGCTTGGGGCGCCTTTAGCTGCTGCGTGGGGCGGGGGCCAAACGTCCCAAAGCAGAGCAGACAACTTTGCCTTCTGTTCAGAGGTGCTGCTGAGGGCAGCCGGCTCGGACTTCGCCATCATCCGCTTCAGGAACCCTTCGCCATCCCAAACCGAGGGCGCGAATATAGGGGTCGGAATAATTACTAATAGTATTCCCTCATGGTTCCTCTATTAATATACCATGTCTTGTGTTTAGCTGGGGAGGGGAGGCTATGCAAGCCACATCGTAGCTGCTCAGTTGCAGGATACCGGGAGTGGACGACTTGACGCTGCTGCCAAGGCCTGATCCACGCAATGCCGGATTGCAGCGCACCCTATTCAGATTCAAGATACCCAACACAAACACACACACACACACACACACACACACCCACGCACGCACGCACGCACGCACGCACGCACGCACGCACGCACGCACGCACGCACGCACGCACGCACGCACACGCACAGACGCAGACACACGCAGACACACAGAGACACACAGAGACACACAGAGACACACAGAGACACACACAGAGACACACAGAGACACACACAGAGACACACCGAGACACACAGAGACACACAGAGACACACAGAGACACACAGAGACACACAGACACAGACACAGAGACACACAGAGACTCACAGACACACAGACACAGACACAGACACAGACACATCGAGACACACCAACCACTGGAATGATCACTATATTAGGCTTTGCATCTAGAAGGTCCTTGGCGGTTGGATCACAGTCTTAGCTTCAGCTTAAGAACTCAGGTTCCCCGGCTGCAGGATCTTTCGGGGGGATGAGGCTTGAGGCTTCAGAGCTTGGGGTCGTCAAAAGGGCCGAAGAAGCATCTTTCTGGTAGTTCTCGAAGCGAAGGTTACTTGGGGGCACCTTAAATTTGAGGGCGCGTTAGTGCATACCACGAGTCAAAAAACATGCCACAATTTGGAGCAGCCCATCATCACCTGCAAGAAGGAGATCTGGAATCCAGCTTTTGATTCAAATCATTTGATCTTCTGTTCTGCTCAAAGGTCCCTTCGCCTTCGAACCCGAAAGCCCAAACCCAAAACTCCGACATCCGTACCTCCGTGCCTAGGAAAACCCTTAGCTTTAAGCCCCTTCAAGCTTCCAGGGTCGTCACGGCATTCTGCGCGGCGCTCTTCGTCTACAACAAGGTCTCTGCCTCCGGGGATCCAGACAGTTTTCGCCAGGTGCCATGCTCCAATGAGTTTTACAACGACCAATGGGTTGCCGCGCCTTGAAAAAAACCCCCGAGTCACGCTCCGAACAACCCTGCGGTACTATTGTAATGACTCCAATGAGTGTTGTACTCGTACGGGTTTGCTATTTTGCGATTGCAATTAAAATCCTATCGTAGCTCCAAACCGCTGCCAAGCCTGTCACGAGGGTGGCGCTTCCTTCGGTGCCTAAACCCGAATCCCTGAAACAATCGCACCCGAAAAGCCCCCCACCCCCCCAACACCCTAAGGGTTTTCCAGGGCTTCGAGGTTTGAGGGGGTTTTCAGGCGCTGAAAAGGGCCTCATCACCTGAAGAGCCCCATATGGGAGCCCAAATCCCGCTTCTCAAGGTGAGTGAGACCCTGGCCGTGGTTCTCTCCGTGCTGACCTGGTCCATCCCCTGGGTCACCGGGCGCCTGGAGGAGGCTTCCCTGGCTTCGGGGGTTTTCGGGTCGCCGCGGTCGGGGCTTTGAGGGTTTTGAGGGCTTTGAGGGCTTCTTTAGGGTCGCGGGCTGGTTTCGGAGGTTCAAGTGCTCAGTTCAAGGGCTCCCTGGGAGAAACAATCCAGTGACAAGCGGCGACAACCTTGCTCGGGGCTTGCAAGTTATAGCCCTACTTGCAAGCCATTGAAACTTTCGCGGTGGGGGTTTCGAGTGGGCCGAGCTTCTTAGTTCGAGTTCCTCGGGTGGCTTAAGCCCTTTTTGCAGAGGCAGTCCGGCGGCAAGTTGACGCGAAGCCCTCCTCCAGGAAGCCGGGTTCCATTCAAACCCTCGCCATCAAACAGGACGGGAGAGTAAATTCAAATAAAAGCCCCCCCCCCCCATCCTACCCTGTTATTCTAAATCTTCCCCAGCACATTGTAGCGATCAGGATCTGCTGGACGTGAAGAATGGTAACATGCAAAGTACCAACGGGTACCAAGGATATACAGCAAATGGCAAAGCACTTTGGTACGTTCAAGGAGTTATCGTCCACGTGCTGTTGCATGGCCAGAAACCAGAAGTAGATCAGAACTTGTCGAGAATTGAATTTGCTGTACGATGCTGTCATATAGGGCTTGCCAAGTACGGAATATACAAGTACCCTGGGCTCGTAGTAACGTAGGAATAGGCTGTCAAGTATGAAGCTTGTTCTCTGTCTGCCGTTCAGAACCCCGCATCCCGGATGAGAGGCGAACGCGTCATCCGTTTCCCAGCTTCCGAATCAGCCGTGTAGCGGTCTCCGATTTTCACGGTTTAGCCGTTCTGGGTTTCGAACCTTTCCATCGACCAACCATAGCAAGGACCTGTCCGAAGACCTGCAAGTAGACATCTCCTGGCTTTCCTCGTCCCTGCTCCGACTGAGCCTTGGTGCTCCCCTTGGTGCTCCTGTCCCAGAGTAGCTAAGGAGCTAAGGCAGCTGAGGTCAAAATTAGGGAAGCTCGGTCCCCGTAGTATGCTGCTCTGAGTTAACACTGTTGTAGGTACTGCTCCCCCCAATATACAGTTACGAGCCCCTCTTGCTCTCCTGCACATGGTCGAAAGTGTTTAAGCCGGACCTTTTGGGATGTCGCTCTCGGGGCCACTTGAAGGCTCATGGGAAGAATGGGAAGTAACAAGCAGGGTTACATGTATGCTCTAAACTTCAAACGAACCTTCAAGTTCGCACCAAGGACCAATGCGGACGGTCTCGCGATCTGGAACGAGGGCTCTGCAATCTGCAGCCGTGGCATCGTGAAGAGGCGCGAGCCACAGCGGGGCGGGGCGGCCCAAACCTCGAGAACCCCCAGAAACCCTGACCCGAAACCCTAGAGCCCTATAATCCCTAAAGTTCCTAAAGTTCTATATAAGCTCCCCCCACACCCCCGGCCCCCAACAAAGCAAAGTAAAGAAGGCTCAAGGGCTTCGCCGCGGGGGCCGAGTTCGTGCTGCAGGGCCTGGACGCCGTGTGGACTCCGGGCTCCGATCCTCGCCGTTTTCGCCTCCTCGTTTTCTCTCCGGTGTTTTCTTCTCGTGTTTGGAGGTTTGGTCCCTTTTTGTTGATGTTTTCAATCAGGGGCTTGGGGGTGAGGGTTTTGGGACTATTTACGTATGAGGTTGGGGCTTGGCGGGTCTAGGGTTTGAGAGGGTTGGGGTTTGGTGTTTGCTTGTTCCAAGGTGCGGAGGCTCCAATGAACGTTGAGCCCTACGTAGCTCTGATATGCTGTGCTCCCCTGACAAACCCCAGTTCGCCCAGACATAGGCTTCCCCTTCAACCTGGCTTAAATGGCACGGCCCGCCGCACCACCGTGCCCTGAATCGTCACTGCCAAGCAGAGCTCTTCTACCGCAGCCTCCCCCAAGGACCCCGTGGATGGCTACTGTGCCACCCGACGAGGCCTGGAAGCCTTCCCAGAGACGCGGCTTCCCCATCAGACTCGTAGGCCAATTAGCGTGCTTAGCTTTGCTGGCGAATACAGGGGCCTCGATACCTAGACTCCCTTGCAGCGCCTGACCTCGGAAAGGGCCTCGTCAACCTCAAGGGGGTATGAGAATTTGTTGTCGCAAGGACGTGGGACCGTCCCCCATTCAGAGGGAACACAGAGCAGAGCTGAGGAGAAGCTGCTGCCACAGCGGGTTCTGCCCGGGGACACGGAGTCGGCGATCATCAAGCCCCTACCGGGAGGCTCAAGGGCATGTGGGCAATTCTCTAAATTCTGGGGTTCCTCCTCTTTGGTACTGAAGGCAAGGCCCACCCCCCCTTCCCCCCCCCCAGTGATGTTGAGACTCGGCGTGTCCAGGGCCTTTGAGCGTAACCCGAAACGTCGCTCGAAGTCATCTGGGTCATCTTCCCCACGCTTGAAGTCTTCTCCCAGTCGCCGCGCCTCAGGCACAGTGCTGTTTTTTGGATACCCCATTCTCATTATGAAGACATGTTCGTGTAGAGGGTTGGGATAATGAGTCTTTTCTCTTTGCTTGATTTTTGTTCATCTTCATGAGGATGAGACCTCGCTCATTGCCTACTTTTTCAGGTGGTGGGCGCAGAGAGGCAGGTGAGAAGTTTATGTACCATATGCATCAAGATCATAAACCAAAAACACCCTGCATAATCCTGCAAGCCCCAAAGCGCCTTATATCCCACATCATTAAACAAACATCCAGAGGGCGGGGGGTTACCGTGGGTCTTGGCTAAGCTGGCAGAGTCTCCCCTCCCCACCCCTCTTCAAACCCCCTACTGCTGATATCAAGAGTGCCTCCGCCAAAAGAACCGAAAGATAAGAAACCTCCACAGATGGCTTCGTAGCCAGATCAAAGTTAAGCATGCGAAGTCATCCTTGGTTTGATTCATGGATGATAGGTAAATACGAGAAATACAGGACGGCTACTGGGACAATTTCACACGAGACTCAAAGAATCCCTAACCCCACTGGAGACAGATAATCAAGGTTGAAGACTTAAAGGCCACTGACACCCTCCCCCTCTGGATGTGGATTCTCCTTTGTGGGGGAGAGTGGTTCCACACATATCATTATATAACTATACATGTGCAGATCCCCTTCCCCCCTCTCCCCTGTCTTTAGGGTTTATGGTTTCTCTCCTTGCTTGATGGGTTTATGGTTCCTCTCCTTGCTTGATCCTGCTTGTGATTGGAGGGTACATTCAATCTTGCCATACAGCCGACAAGCCAATCCCAGAGCCTGGAAATTCAGCTTTGCAACAGGCGGCCACCTCGTTTTGTGGTCGGCGCGTCCACGGGCCTTCGACAAGGAGGCAGATCGCCTTTGGACACTCGGGCACGAATACGGTTACAGGCTTAATAGAATCTCCGGCATTTAGGGTAAATGCTAAGGGTTCAGCATGAGAAACCGTCGGTTCACTAGTGGCGAGAAGTGCTTGTGTGTGTGTGTAAACTTCTAAAGTCCAGGAAACAACAACCCCCAGATGGCATGATTTCTGTCGCAAAATGCATCAGCCAATGAAGGGCTCCTACGCACCCTGAATCCGACAGCCTGCACTAGGTAAGACCTTGTAAAAAAATTATCGCAACCCTGATTGATTTCAGGAAATCCTATTTAGTTGTATACTCCAAGAGTGTTGAGGGGCAACCGAGTGCCCCAAGCCCCAAACTTCTTAAAGCCTAACTCAATATTTTTAGGTAATTTTCCAATCTTCTGAAGCCCGCAAGCCTCGACCTCCAAGGATCCAAAATGCGGCGGCCAAACTGGGTGGGCTGCTGCGCCTCTCCTTGTCTTTGCTCTTGCAGTGGGCACTTAGGGGTTCGAGTGGCTTCGGGTTGACGGCCCCTCCACCCGAAACCCCGAACGGACGCGCGATGGGGTTTAGGGGTGGAGTCAGTCTGCTAGATTGTGACCACTTCTTGGGCATCCTATGGTTTAAAATCTCGTAGTAGTACACGGACTCGACAAGGGACCCTGACCCTATGGACCCTGTGCAGGAGCCTAAAATGATGCTTGGAGAATTTTGTCTTGACACTATCCCTATATGTGTTCCTCAGATACAGAGGCTATTCCAAATAAAAAAGCAGGCCCCTAGTTTGCACGATCCCTCAGGCATGGGCCCAAGTCCACCGTGCCCGACACTGTCATGGAGGCAGCTGGATCCGTGGTGAGCCTAGGCTCCTGAACCCGTGAGAGTGTACTGTAGGCTTTAGGGATGAGGGGGGTTGGAACGAACGTTTTGCTTGCAGGAGTGCTTTGAAGACACCTTGCCCCTGCTCGTGGCCGAGGCAGGCGGGCCCCATACTGACAACAAGACGACAGGCAACATGAACAACAACCGTCTTGCTCGCAGCATCGCTGTATCTATGTAAAATATGTACATACATGTCTGTCTCTCTCTCTCTCTCTCTCTTTCTCATTCTCTCTCTCTCTCTCTCTTTCTCATTCTCTCTCTCTCTCTCTCTCTCTCTCTTTCTCTCTCTCTTTCTCTCTCTCTGTCTCTCTCGCCTCTCTGTGTTTTTCTCTTGATCTGTATATTGCAGCTCGGCGCCGCCCTGTCTTGACTCACGCCCAAGACATTTCCGGCAGCTTTCCGACTCGAATTTCAGCTCTCGGCCCTCACCAGTTTTAGACGAACCCCCTTTGCAGTCGACTCGCGGTGTCTGACTCGGTCCCCACGCTTCACACCTCACCCACCCCATGTAGCCGTTGCATGTCGGAAAAGGAAAGTTTTTATTCTCATGCTCACTGGCCCACCACTGGACTCGTTACTCCGCTCCAATTTTGTGACGACATAGGTTGCACTTTCAGACTAGGCCTAGGGGTGACACCGTTGTGGAAAGATGGCTAGGTGGGCCATTTTGGGTGTAGCTCCAAACCGATGTCGTTGTCGAAGGCATCCTCCCCAAAGCGGAGTTCCCAATCTTCTAGAGAACGCGGGCTCAGAGTTCTAGGATTGACGGCTTTGGTTAAGGATTTAAGGGCTTGGGTTTAAGGTCAGTTGGGAAAAGGGTGTCCCAGAGACAAGAGACATTGACCCTGTCAGCCGAAATCCTGAGCCCTAAGGCGCACAGTCTGAAAATATGCCTCTCGTCAACCTTCAAACCCAGCCTGAACCCGTCACCCTGAAGAAGCTTCAAAGCCACTCAAAAAGAAACCCACCTACACTCACGACCTTTGCCCTGCACGCCAGTAGAGGGCACACTCTAGATAGCATAGGTAGCTTGGGCGCTTGAAGTTATCACGAAGGTGGATAGATAGTAATGCGCTAAACCTTGAAATGCTAAACCCTAAGCCCTAAATTATTACCACCACAGACAAAACTGTGTAGGTTTCTTGAGAGGATCCGCGTGTTAAAGGGGCATTACCCACAAAAGCTGGTGCCCAAGGAGGATGCCGAGGCATCCAGGGACCCCTTTGCGCGCTTCGACTTGCAGAGCCTGGGCTTCGTAGGGCTTTAGAAGGGGCATCTTTTTGAGGGTCGTAGGGTTTAGGGTAGAGTTTAGGGTTTAGGCTTTAGGGTTTAGGCTTTCGGGCCGAGGGTGAAAGGATGTCTGGGGTTTGGGTTTTGGGGCTTTGGGGCCGTCACAGGGCTTGTTCAAGGGGCGCCCGTTAGGTTTCGTCTATTCGCCCGGCTCTTCCTCCCTTGTCTCAGTGTGTTCTCCGTTTTGTTTGTGCCTTCGGACTGCTGCTCAGGCGGCCCAAGACAGGGGCCTCTTGACCCCTAGGATTGCTGGCTCGGCCTCTGACGCCCCTTTCTGTCCACGCAGAGGCTTTGAGGTTTAGGAAGGGTTCAGGGTATCAGGGGGAACCTTGGTGCGCGAAATGAACTTCAAGGACAGGAAAGTAAGTTCTGTTGCAACGCCTTTCAGCGAACTCCAGGAAGTACAAGTATCTCCAAAAGGCTGTGCATGCGAAGGCAATCCGTTCCTTGTTACAAGGACTCTAAAACGAGTGACAGAATGACAGCCTGTTGGACCCCCGGACCTGAATCCCGGATAGCCCCGAGGATCCGAGTGGCCCCGACCATTGTCGGCGCGACTCGGCCGGGTCGCTGGGGGGAAGCGTCTTCACTCCGGCTTGGGTTTCGAGCACGCCTTTCCTAGCCTAAACCTGCCTCCTGCACTCAATTTAACCCCAATGCCCCAAGACCCTTAAAGCCCAAAAAGGCCCAGCCGAACCTACGTACATCCGCATTGTTGGCCAAGCTCAGTACACCAAGGTGATGGGTCTGGGCGTGCTGATCTTCAACCGCCAGGTCGAACGTAAAGCTACAGATTTGACGAAATAACCTTGAACCCTAAAGGCCCTAAAGCCTAAACCCTAAACTCCCGAAACCCCGACTTCGGTTGGCTACTCTGGGTGTGGGCTTTCACGCCCGTGCACAACCTCGTTGGCCCTAAACCCTATAAACCCGAAACCCAAAAAAATACCCGAAACCCCTTAGCCCACCCCTAAACCTTAAACCCTAACCCCCAAACCCCAAGCCCACCATCAGGCGCTGGTGTTCTCGGAGGCGCCTGGCTCCCAGTGCTGGAGCGGCGCCCCTGCTGCCCCCTCCTCCCCCCTCTTTTTTGGGTCGCTGCGCCCTGAATCCTGAATCTCGCCTCAAGGTGGGCAACTCCACCCAGAGGGCCAGAGAAAACTTAAGGCAAAGCATTCAAAAATCTCACATTTTCCACTACGCAGCTCCCCAAACCGCACGGAAGGGAAACATGCCGATGGGCCGCTCCCAGGCCGCAATGCATACACCGATGCACTCCCACGCTGTCCTCACGACCCCCTTGAACGAGTTCTTTGTTGGCCCATATAAAAGCTGAAGCTGGGTTTTTGACAGCATTTCATTTCCGAAAGAAACTGGGTTGTTATTGAGGAGCTTCAACAAAAGTTCCCGGAATATGGAGACACAGCAAATGGCAAGGTGTCCGTAGTGTGACAACAGGCCTGTGTTGAAAGGAGTGCAGCGCATGGACAAACACTCGCCCTCCCAACAACGATCCAGACAGGACCCTAGAGGCTATCTTCTCCCGCGCTAGCTGTTGCATGTTCCGTATTCTCTATTCTTTTTTGTCCTCAGCTCCTCAACCGTAACACTGCCATCTTCCAAGGGGCCCCAAAGAAGAGCATCCCCAAGAAGCCCGGACATGGCGGTCTTAGCACCGCCCTGACAACCCCCACCCACCTGCCTTGCCACAAAGATTTGCACACTCCCACAAGTGTTGGAGACCAGGGGTTAGGGTTTGATCCATGAAGCCTCAAGCGCCTGTACGTAGAGTGCATGTTGCTCCATCATTGCATCATGGCTTTTCTTGCCTTCCCGCGTCCCTGATAGCCGTGTCGAAACCTTGGGCCCCGAAAAAGAACCTGAAGCCCTTCTCTTCCGCAAAGCCCTTCGCTCACACCCAAGCCGAGGTCAAGGATGGGTGTGGACTGGGCCTGAGTTGTTCCGTTGTGGATTTCACGTACATGGGGCATGAGGGGGGCCGGGGCGGGCGGGGGGGGGACTGTGACTGAAGGTCTTCATTGTTTTTTCTTCAGGTTTCTGAGGCGTTCTGGGTTCTTTGGGATCGAAACTTTGGTTCCATTTCCCGAAGAGTCAAACAACCAGAAGAGGGTGAACAAAGTACCAAATTGCAAACTGCACAAGCCGAGTCCCAAGGCCGATTATATCCTAAGACAACTCCACCATGTAAAAAGCAACCTCGAGGCACGCTTCTGAAACTCTTCGAAGAACGTGTTTTTGTGCAGGACCCAGCTCAAACACGAGCAGACCTCTGCGCGGGAGGCCGGGAGGGGCATGTAGGAGCGCTTTTGATACGGGGGTCTTGGTGCTTGACGGTCAGGGTTCTCGGGTGGTTAGAAACTTGGAAAGTATGGCAAAAAGATGTTGCAGACTTGAGCTGGCAGGGCTTGGGTTTCAGCACTTGCTTTGGGTTTGAACAAACTCGCGCTCGCGAATCCTACGCAGCATCCCTCGAAGCATCAACCGGTTCAGGGGGCTTGGACCCCCAGCACGGATCTGGTTGCCTTGGCTGCCATGCTTCCAGCAGCTTGCTGACGCGACGTTTAGGCTTCGAGTGTTGAGAATGGGGTCAAGCGAAGTATCTTCAGAATCTAAAGGCTTTTGACGTGTGGCTCGGGAGTGCAGTTCGCCGCCCAGGAAGTCCTAGGTGGAGGCTTCTGGGGCTTCGGGTTTCGACAGCCAAGAAACCCTGAAGCTCCAACCCCATCCTTTCCGCAAATGCTGCTGTGCAGTCCTGGCCATCACACTTGTGCTGCAGGCCAGGGTGATGTACTGGTTCCCAGAGCTGACCTGCGAATTTGAAAACCTAAACACTCATGAGCCCCAACATGGTGTGACACTCGCTGCCTGAACTCCCAAACGTCTTTGGGCTTGGGTACTGCGTGAACCAGAAAAATAATGAGGAGGGCGTTGGAGGTCGTGTTTAAAGCTTCGGGGCTTGGGGACGGGCTCCAGGCAATAGGCCTTGAAAGGATGCTGTTCAACCGTTCCTTCGCTGTGGTCCTTCTCTCAAGGCCCACAAACCCTAGTCAATTTAGTCAACATCACCAAAGTCAACGCTAAACCCTTAAAAGCCTTAACCCTTAACCCTTAACCCCCCCCCCAAGCCAGAAAACAAAAGCGCCCCTATCCTTTAAGGCGCCCATGGAAGCCGAGACCTGCCTGGTCGTAGCCTCCGTCAGCTGAACAGGTTCTGAAGAGTTTCCCTGCATGTGCCCTCTTACAAGTCTACACCAAAATCCGAAAAACAATGAATTTATGAAAAAAAAAAAAAAAAAAAAAAAAAACGCCCCCCTCGTTGACAGATGCCTTACACGGGGTCGACTGGGCAAGCCCCAAAATCAGCGCGAGGGCCTCGTTTGGGTCAGCGAAACGCCGAAAGCGCCGGACGTTGAGGCCCCAACTGAGGGGTCTCTTTTGGGGTTCCTGTAGTGGGGTGCACATCTTACATTTAGGCGCCGCCGTCGCCCCAAAATGGGCCCCATACAACGTTTGAGGTTCAGGGGCAGGATATGACACTTCAGAGGCTCTGCATTTGGCGGGCACTTCCTCTTTTTCCTCCTCTTTGAAAGTGGCATCGGCTCGACTCTGGGTTTTGCCCTGCCCAAGATTTCCAGATGGGCGTTGGAATTGACGGACTTGACGTTGAAGCGCTGTAGACGTTGATCTTGCCAACAGCAATTGCAAACCACCGGAGCTTGTTGGTCATATTAGGTGAACTCCTAGGGAGGTGACAGTGCTGCGCAGATCCCGCCTACTCCTGCCCTTCCTACTGCCTACTGCTATAGGACACGACCCAGTGGGATGACTCTCGCAACGTTTTGTTTCTTGGCTGGCACCAGAAATCTAGAATCAGGTGGCTCACACTCACGCTCACGCTCACAGTCTCACTCACACACGCACCAACACACACGCACCAACACACACACACACACACACACACACACACACACACACACACACACACACACACACACACACACACACACACACACACACACACACACACACACACACACACAGCTCACATCACGCACAACCCTCACACCCTCACACAGCCTGCACTCAGCGCACGTTACGCGCACAACACGCGCACACGCGCACACGCGCGCGGACGCGCGCGGCGCAGCTCAAAGCCCGCAACACAAACCGACACAACCACAACAACCCACCCACCAACACACACACACACACGACACACACACACCACACACACACACACACACACACACACACACACACACACACACACACACACACACACACACACACACACACACACACACACACACACACACACACACACACACACACACACACACACACACACACACACACACACACACACACACACACACACACACACACACACACACACACACACACACACCCGCGCGCGCGCGCACCCACGCACCCACGCACACACGCACACACGCACACACGCACACACGCACACACCCACACACACGCACACACGCACCCCACGCGCGCACCCGTGTGCGCGCGCACGCACGCACGCACGCGCGCACCCGCGCACACGCACGCGCACACCACACCACACCACACCACAGCACAGCACAGCACAGCACACCACACCACACCACACCACACCACACGACACCACACGACACCACACGACACCACACGACACCACACGACACCACACGACACCACACGACACCACACGACACGACACGACACGACACGACACGACACGACACCGCACGCACGCACGCAGACACGCAGACACGCAGACACGCATACACACACACACACACACACACACACACACAAATATTAAGACTGACACAGCAACAAAAACTAACATAACAAATGAATATTGCATACTGATCATAAAAAGCAAACACACACACACACACAGAGATTAAACAATCACAAGAGAATGCCGAGGTGGGTGGACCCACAGCTAGCGGAAGGTGCCTGTCAGGAGCTCGTCTGGTCCTGGAGCCGCGCCGGCTGAACTTCGGTTGTTCTATGCTCAGTAGGGAAGTCGGGTTTAGGGTTAAGGAAACCGTAGTATGAAAGTATACCCATGAGAGGATACTTATATACTGCGCCCCTCCCCCCACGCACCCATATCATTTGCTCTCTCGGGCCCTCGTTCGGATTCGACGGATTTCGCACGGCCAACTTTTTCTAAAATTACCACTTTGTTGGTATCATCGTTGTCGAGCATGATGCTTCAGAGGTGGGTGGAGGGTTGAATTCGTGGACGTCTTCTTATGAATGCTATTGGGATCTTTCTTGCTGTTTAAGACTACTGCGATTGCAGACCAAAAATCACAGCGCTAGATGAGATGCATACTCTCGCTTATTCGGTGAGTCATCATATCGTTCAAGTATATGACCGGCTGTATGTTGTGTTTTATAATCTTATTCCATTTCATTATTATTCTGGCTTCATTAGGTTTATGATTTCACAAGCAAATCCGTCTAAAATACAGACTTTAACTGATGAAACTCAGGACTTGAAGGTGTGAGGGCGGTGACGTCAGGAGGAACACTGTTTTTGACGATGTAGAGCTGCTGGATTTGAGGGGCTTGTGCCTTCAAGACGGTGCGGTGGCTTAGGGGCACAAAGGCTAAGGCCACGGGAGCCATTAATATTAGGCTTGCTCTTCATGGAACAAAAAAAATTTTCGGGTTTGGGCAGAGGTGCCTTCAGCAGCGCCACGCGGGCCTGCTCCATGGCCCTTTTCTGGCGCGACAAGTGTGTGATGCAGGCTCAGAGCAGCACGGAGTTACTCCAGCAAGTACTTGCTTTTCCCTTGCCCAGAGCTTCAGTCGGGCGGAATCTCGAAACATGGAGAGCATTGACTACTCACTCGTCTGAAAGCTCTGGCTCTCCCCCCAGACCCAAACTACTGGACCACAGTTCAGGAGTCGCTGGTTTTCGGGATGTGTCGGATCCGGCTTCGAATCCCTTCAGGACTTGCTACTCAAGCTTTCAAACCCGAAGAACCGCAACTTTGCCAAAGGGTGGCCTGTTCCAACCGGGCATGGAGCCAGTTCAGCGTGGCTTCTGCCAGGAGGCCGCGCATATCAAAGAGGGGAACTTGGAATGAAGTCCATTGAATTGAGGGTTCGAGGGTTCCAGGTCAGACCGAACTCCAACTCCCACGTCACCGTACTCGAGTTGTTATGTTCTTTGTCGTTGCGTTGTGGAAAGGTTCGGCAGGCATACCAGTTGCGATCCGAGAAGGCATAATAGTCGTATATATGTGTGTCTATGTGTATATGTGTCTATGTATACGTCTATGTATATATGGGTTCTTTGTGCTGGAAGGCAAGGGTCGTTAAGGGGGCACTGGGGCAGAAACGGGTTTCACGGGGGTTCTTTTCCAGTTCTAGGGAGCATCGTACCTCTGATCTTGCGGTCCTTCTACCCAGTAGGATTCAGGCGTTTCGCATTTCAGAAAGTCTTCAGTTTCCAAGAGCTTGAGCGAAGTTCAGGATAGGATCTCCAGAAGCGTAGCATGACTTGAAGCCACGTTTCTCACCAGTAGCCGCATCGCGCAAGGGTAGGGTCCACAGTAGTTTGCAAAAGCCTTGAAACCAAGCTCTTGAACATATGCCTTTTCGCAGGTCATTTCCATGGGAAAGGGCCGCTATCTGGCGCAGTTGAACAACTATCCTGCCAAGGTCGCTGGACCTAAATGTTCATAGGCACCTAAGAAACATGACAAGTGGATGAATGCAATTAAGCTGTGTAGAATCCTACCTATTGCTCTTCAAGTAGTCGTTGAGTTTTGTGGGAATCTTGGGCTTTCGAGTTGTGAGAATTGTCAGACTTCATCGACAACACCCAAAGTGCCCGAAAACCCTCGAAAAAGAAGTCTCAAGGCTGAAAGCCCGAACCCCAATGGGCAGGTTTGGACTTTAAGGTCACGATCTCCTAACATGAGATACGCCGGAACTCCTAGACGCGTGGACGACAGCAACCATTGCAGAGTCCACACCGCATCCCGACATCCCGACACCTCACAACCGGAGCCAAGAGCCCTTAGGGTTTAGGGTTTAGGATTTAGGGTTTAGGGTTTAGGCTTTAGGGTTGAGGGTTTTCAAGTGCTCCATTGGTGAATTTGCTCCTGGCCCGCTGGTCTCTAAACCCAGCCCCACACTCCTCTGTGCTCACTTGCACAAGACTGTGTGTTCACGAATGAAAAAGAACGAGTCTTGAGTTGCTTTTTGGGTTTTTTGTGAAGCTTGCTGGTTGCTGAAAGAAACCACAAGGACGGGGCCGCAAACACCCTCCGAAGTGTCCATATAAAACAGCTTGTGGCTCAAGCAAGGAAGAGTTCTTGGACTTCTTTCCGAGGAAAACTCAGGCCGTGGACCCAACCTGGAGAGTCTGCAAGGGCTTGGGGTCGCAGATCTTTGAGGATTCTTGTCATCTCCAACAGCAGTGTGCTGGACAGCAGCAGAACCAATCAGGGACTTTTGATCTGGGGATGGTTTGGGCTGAATGTCTGAAATTGGGGAAGTCGCTGGACTCATTTGGTTGATAGCAAAGGCATGCGAGGGTGGTTGGCCGGTTGTGGGGTTTTTGAGGGTTGCCATCAAAAGTTGCCCAAGCCAAAACAGTATAGGATCCAAGCTTCAGGTTGCTCTGACAAGTAACTTGTGATTTGTAGACTTATTATACTATGTTCATATTAATGTGTTCTCGTTCTCTGCTACTGGATGATTATACATTTTTACAAGAAGGCTGGCAAAACTCAATGACGTCCATGCCATTGTGAGCAACCGATGTTTCTTCAGCGGCGCCTATGGACAACGCTACGAAGCATTAGAGATCTTTAAATTGCTTCCATATTTTTTAAAATTAGTTAATCTACGTTGCGTTCTTGCGTTGTTTTATGATCGTACTATCGTATTATTGTCGTGTTGTAGCATTGTCGTATGGGTGTGTATGATGATATTTTCCTGTTATGCTTCTTTTGTTCTATAAAGATTTGACTTCGTGTTCCACTTCTGCCTATATGCTCTATTCTCATCCTCTTTGTGTTTCCCGTGAAAACACCGACCACCTGCAGGGTCTCTTGCTGACTCCGCTGCGCCCGGCGCGGAATGCCCCGGCAGCAGGGTTCCCAGGACATTCGCACTACGTCACTACTACTGGGCTCTCAAGAATTCTTCACTCAAGCCCTGAAAGTCGATTCACAGCCTGCAGGTTTCTGGAAGGCACCATAATCCGTGTGAAGGTGAAAGGGTTCAGCAAGGGTTCCGGCCCCCCAAAAAGCCCTCCAAACCACCCACCACGGAGCTCCAAGCCGGCCACGGTTCTGGCCCCAACAAAATGCAGTCGGGTCAACAATGCTGCACATCAGATGGCCTTAGCAAATCGAGTCATATGGTGGACACCTTCCCTACTTGTGAATTTGAGCCCAGCAAAACTGGCCAAGCTGGACTGAGGCGGGGTTGATGGTCTTGGGCTTAAGTGCCATGCGTGGCTTCGGCAAGGCTTGGAACAGAGCTGCAGAGTTCAGGACTGGACTTGAGTTTCAGGCACGCATTTCATGCATCTCATGCATTTCATGCATTTCATGCATTTGGGTGGCGGTGTACGAAACCCCTACCCATGTCCCCGATCCCCTGTAGAGCTAATCTTACTGCTCAAGGCAAACCATCCACTGATGACAAGCTATTCTAAGAAGTACTTGCAAATGAGAAATGAGCGGCAGCGACTTGAGAGAAACAGTTCTTTTCAAGAAAATCTCCTCCCCGAACCGAACTCGAAACCCGGACCCTGAATCTTGAATCCCGAAAATCAACAGGTGGACCAAGCTTGGGCGGCTGCCCTTGCAGAGAAACTGGCTGTGACGCTGAACTCGCAGTAGTTTGCAAGCATTTGGAACGCATCGCAGGCTGATGAGGAGGTTACGGAAAGTCCTGAAGAAGGCTAACGGCCCTACTTGTTCGACTTCGCACTCTGCGTTGCGCTTTGACCTTTCTATTCGACGATGACATTTCTTATGCCTTAGAGGCTTTCATTCATGAAAGATACGAAAGTGAGATAAAAGAAAGATATTGAACCATCTACCTTATATATACGTCTTTGGATGTATTCATGTCTTTGTTGTTTGGAACACTCGCTTATAATACTGATTGTACTGGCAATACGTTAACCGGGCGGACAGGAAAAAATTTTTTGCTTCGAACATCCCCGCCCTCTCTGGGAAGGGACACTCTGAGATTGGGCGCTGCACTTGGGGATGGGCACTCCTTGAGGAGACTGTGGAGTGGGCACTCTTGGGTTGGGCACTCAGGGATGATTTGGGTTTGGGCAGTAGGATTGGGCATTCTAGGGACACTCTAGTGTAGGATGGGGTTTGGACTTTGCAGGGATGACCGAGGAATAGATTGGACGAAAAGAAGAATTCCGGCTGACGATGAATGGGTTCTAAAATCGAACATCAAGGGAATAGAAGTGCTTGAAATTTCTTCGGTATTCAAT